CAAAACTGATTGATAAATTTATAAATATTAAGTCATCAGACAATAAATAGGAATGCTACCAGATATCAATTTCGCCAGTAAATATCAAGATTTAACTAATAAACTCAATGATTACTATATTGATAAAGCTGAGTTCCTTATGCGCGATTATTATAAAATAAGAACTTCGAAGAGTATTCCAATAACAAATTTCATAAACCAGATCTAAGTTTATTAATCATTATATAAATTTTCTAAGGTTAAAGGAAAATTACAAACTATCATTGTGAATCAATCTTCAACCTATTTTTTAAAAAAAATTATAATTCAAATAATATAATTATAAAAAAATGATTCAAAATAAATTATTCATTATTAGCAATTATCGCGATACTAAATTCGCTATAATATCTTCGCGATATATGCTTCGCGAAATAATTGTCGCAATATTGTCTTCGCGATTTGGGTTTCGTGATAATAACTTCGCTATAAAATTTTCGCGATTATTGATTCGCGATAAAAGTTTCGCGGTAATGTATTCGCTTTAAAGGTTTCGCGATAAAATTTTCGCGATTATTGATTCGCGATAAAAAATTTGCGGTAATGTATTCGCTTCAAAGGTTTCGCTATAAAATTTTCGTGTTTATTGATTCGCGATAAAAGTTTCGCGGTAATGTATTTGCTTTAAAGGTTTCTCGATAAAGGTTTGGCTATAAAAAATTCGCAATATTTGTTTTGCGATATTATATTCGCGGTAATGTATTCGCTATAAAGGTTTCGCGATAAAGGTTTGGCTATAAAAAATTCGCAATATTTGTTTTGCGATATTATATTCGCGGTAATGTATTCGCTATAAAGGTTTCGCTATAAAAAATTCGCTATATTTGTTTCGCGATATTGCATTCGCGGAATAGTATTCGCTATTATGGATTCGCGATAAAAGTTTCGCTATAAAATCCATTCGCGATAAACGACATTCGCGATAAAAGTTTCGCGAAAAAGTGTTTCGCGATAAAAGTTTGGCAAAAAAGTGTTTCGAGATAAAAGTTTCGCTGAATTGACATGAAACCCTATTCTTTACATTGTTGATTTTTTAAAGGCCGCCTCCCACTATGTACAAACATTAATAATGAAATCTCAAAAGCTCTTAAGGGCCAGCATCCCAAATAACCTAAGGCCTAATAATTTATGCTATAGAAACAACAAAAAACCCGATGGTATCAGCCTTGCCTTGGTCTTCTGGTCTTACAAGCCATTACAATGGCTATTCATTAAAGTAATTGCATTGCTATAAATGGTTCTATATGGCAACGTATATAAACCAATCTCTTTATTGTTTTTTTTATATAATTTATTTTTGAATTCAGTTACAGTCAACAAAACCAGATAATTACGAAGCGTTGGGACTGAAAAAATTTATTTTTTCACACTTATCCGATTTTTCGCAATTATAAGAATAGATATAATTTTTTGTTAATATAAGCTAATTTAATATTATTATTAATAATACATTATTTACATATACTCCATGCATTAAAGCTATCAAATTTGGCTTCTTTTATATACATATATTGCTTTATGAAAAAAAATTTAAAATGATTAAAAATTTTTTTCCCAATTTGTGTGTAATCTGGATATTACCATATGTTTTTTTAAAGAAAATTTTATTTGATAAGTTTAAGATAAAATCAATTCATATGAAGATTTCTTTCCAAATTTTACACAATCTATAATTTTAGAGAAACATTTAATAAATTCATATCTTTACCATGTTATGTATATTTACATCTATAAAACACTTAATAAAAAGTCTTAAAAGTTATTCTTGTAAATAATTATAACAAAATTTTATATAAAAATTTAAACAACATAAAAGTTGTCAAGAAATATAATATTTACACCCTAATTAAAAGCATAATAACTAAGATAATCCTATAATTTATATAAATAGATTCTGCTATATAAATCTGTCAATGAATGACAAATCAAATGAATGAATAATGGATACCTTAATTTTACCCTGAGAAATGTTTTTAATTTCCTATTTGAAGATTTTTCTAGTATTGTTAAGGAGCGACAAGATCGATCCTGAAGCGCCTCTACACTTTTTCAAAAACACCTGGATCTCCCCTCCTTTTGAAAATCAGGAGCGGAAGCGGGAAATGGCTTCTTTTTGGGCTGGAGTGTAGGAGCGCCGCTTCACTGCTCTTTTAAATTTAATAAATAAATAAAATTATTTTTTAAATATTAATATATCTATTTATCTGTTAATTAAAATTAAAATGAAATCTTATTTTATTTAAATGCAATTAAATGTGGAGCCGAGTTTTACATAGGTTTTTCATCTAATCAGTTAAAATATTATACATTTTTCTTTTTTTTTTGAAAATTTCTTTAAAAATATTTAAGTCATATATTATAAAAATAGTTTTTGATATTATGGATCCAAACATCATAGAAGAAGAAATCGAAATAAAAAATAAATTATCTTTTTAAATACTCTATTGCAGATTTTCAATAATTTATAATGACGAAAATATCATGCACAAAATATGGAGCTAAAATATATAATTTATTTTTTAAGAAAACAATCTTGATACAAAAATAGGTTCACGGGAACCCTGCATTGATGTGGAAGATTTTTTTGGATTCTATGAAATTGATCATCAGGCAGATAATATATTGGACAAATATTTTATAAATAATGATATCAAAATTACTATTTTTGATAAATTTCCTGAATTAAAAAATATTTTTATAAAATACAATATCCCGCTTCACTCAAGTGCTTCTATTAAGTAGTGTTGTTAAACGGCTTAATTTGAGCCGATTTTAAAAACGGCTAGCTCAACATTATAGCCAGGAAAATATTTCCACAGCGTCGAAACTTTGACCATAAATGTTCAATCCTTTGTGACATCTATGAGCAAAATCTTTAGGCTTGCATAATATTTTTCTGGATAAAATATTGAGTTACCAGTTTTTAAAAATAGGCTCAAATTGAGCCGTTTGACAACACTAATATTAAGCCTGTTTAGTATTCCTAACCAGGTTTTAGTGGAGAGGAGTGGATGTTTGTTAGATTTTAATTTAGAAAATTTATTTTTAAAAGCTAATAAAAGGTATTTTGATATATCATTTAATATAAATAAATCTTTTTTGATAAAAAATATGATTTTGTTTCGTGTACTTTCTAGAAAAAATGAAAATCAAAGGAACGGCTATGGAGTGGCCAATGGGAGTGGCACTTAATTACTTAGAGCGGGAGCTAGCTCCCTTTAAAAATCTAGTAGTGGGAGCAGGAGCTAGCTCTTTTTAAGAACTGTAGCTTTTAAAAATGAGCGTTAATAACTCTGAATTAAAGAATTGCAAAATTAAAATTACACACATGATATTTTATTTTCCTTCTAAGAGTCTGCTAAATAAATCAGAATCAATCAGTGATCAATATTAGTAGATAATCCAATTTTACTCACTGGGAAATGTTTTTAATTTCTTATTTGATAACTTTTATATTTAATTTATGAATTGCAAAATTAAAATTACACGCTTGATATTTTATTTTCCTTTATTATATATACATATAAACAAATAAATAATTTTTATAAAATTAATTAATTTAAAATAATTTGTTATGAATGTTTAAATTATCTTTCTATAATGACTATAACCTTCTTAATGATTCTTGGTCCTTCAAGTTAGCATCCGCATAGTGGATAAGATGTCATATCCATTCATAGCTTTTTATAACATCATCCAAGCAATGACTATCTCTAATAGCGGATTTTTTTCGCATTTAAAAATATTTTCACTTGAGAAACATGCAATTAAGTGGTTTTGACTGTATTTGTTTTTTTAAAAATTATATATACAGTGTTGTGATGATTTAATGTATTGACGATTAAATTAAAACTCATCCATATAAAATTATTTTATTTGCAAAAATAATTAAAATAACAAAAGGAATAATAAAAGATTTTTCAATAATGCTTTGTCTATATTTTAATTATTTTTGCAAAGAAAATAATTTTATATAGATGGGTTTTAATTTAATAGTCAATATGTTTCAATAAATCATATACAGTGTTGTGCAGATTTAATTCAAATCAAAACATTTCCATATTTATTAATTTATTTGAAAATAAAATTATTTGATTTGCAAAAAATTATTTAAATAACATATTTATATATTCTTATCAATTTTTACAAGTTAAATAAATTTATAAACGAATTAAAAAATATGGAAATGTTTTGAATTAAATCTGCACAACACTGTATTGTATATGCTCTATACTTTTATAAACGTTAAGTGTTATTTATATTTCCTTTGTTTAATTCGTTTCTTAATATAGTATCATGTATTATAATAGTTATATTTTCTTAAATAGAAACAATTTAATGGGAGTGGGAGAGAAAATTAAAAAAAAAGAGATTATTATAGTAAAATTAAAATGACATATTTTTTTATTTAAAGAAAAATTTATTTAACATAATTTCATAATATAATAATTCATAATATACCCATATTCCAATCACCAACTATAAAAAGGTTCTCATTCTATAAAAAGGAAATTGGGAGTATAATTTTTCAAAAAACATGGATAATTATATTTTGAAAAACTAATTTGAATATATATTTTTAAAAAGGACCCCCTGGGTTCTGATGTAAAGACTCTTATTTTATCGCTTATATTTTTTAAATTGACATATGTCCAAGGGAAGAGATAATGATTGGTAAAAAACATTATTTGTTAATTTCGAATATTTAATTTTATATTTTTTTCTCAGTTTAAACTTTCAAAAAAATAAAATTTAAACACATTTTATTAAAGCATATGTTATTTAACCCAGCATTATTCAAAATAAAACTAATAAATAGATATAAATTAATAAATATGGAGCGTTAATTTGAAAAACATATGTTGCTATTCGTTGATAAAAAAATACGCGATACAATTAAAAAATTAATAGCGAACTCGATAAATATATATATAATTATCACTATCTTAGCCAATCTTAGATTACCTTAAATTAGTTTTAAAAACTGAATGAGCTGTAATAGTGTTGCGTTTAATGTAACGCTTGGAGATAATGCGGTACTATAAATGCAGCGTAAGTACAACTGCTGTTTCTACAAATCGACCCAACTATTTTGAATTTTTAAACGCTGGAACAACTTGAACTGGAAAAATTAAATAATAATGTACCTCATGGTAATATATTTTCTATCCAAATCATATAATTAAATTTATACCTCAGATTGCCCTGGAACCCAGAGTCAGGATGCAGGGAAAACAGATTCATGCAAAGGATGTCCTAATATGAAAATATGTTCAAGTGGTGAACTTAAAAAAGAAATAGGTAATTTTTTTAAAAATAGTAACTAAATTAATAATTAATCATGGTAAAATTTATATCATAATGAATTAATAATATAAATGTATATACAATTATAATATATTTTTTTACAGATCTAAGCAAGATATTATCTAACTTTACCAATATTCAAAGCATCATTTTTGTATTGTCTGGAAAAGGGGGTGTAGGTAAAAGTTCATTTGCAGCAAATTTTGCAAGATATTTAGCTGATCATGATCCAAATAAAAATGTATATCAATGTTTTATTTATTATTATTTAAAAGTCATTAAATTTTGTCATATAAACTTGAGTTTTTCTTAAATAGGAAATAATATTTTCCTTTTAAAAGATTATATTTATTTAATAGGTTGGCCTTCTAGACATTGATCTGTGTGGGCCATCAATCCCTCAAATGATGAATATATCTAACCAAAAAGTGCATCAAAGTGCAAATGGCTGGTCTCCAATAGTAAAATTAGTTTAATATCTTTACCTCAGATTTTAACTTTAAGATTTTAATATATAAAATCATATTTCTTGATTATTATATTGAAATATATCTCTTAACATTTTGAGAGTATTATCTCTAAATATAAACAAAATAATATATTTCTCTTTTATCATAACTATTTAGTGTTACAAATGTGTATAAATGAATTGCTTTCAATGCTAACCAGATCTAGTGGCTAATATGCAAAATATTGATTAACCCTTATAGATCTTTAAAAAAATCTACTTTTAGCCATGAATTTATAGAATAAAAAAATATTTACAAATTGAAGAAAATATTGTTACCCCCCCCCCCCCCTTACCCCCTTCTTTGTACTTTTAATTATGAATTAATTTTATTATGAAGAAGAAACAACAATAAATAAATTACAAAGCAAGTTATTAAGATTTAAAAAGTATTTATAGCGAAAAATTTGGTGGAAATGGGGACTGAGAAAAATATAATAATTTTTAAATAAACCTGATTTTTTTTATTAAAGGACCAAGATGTGAGATTTAAATTTTTTTATTAAAGGACCAAGATGTGAGATTTAAATCTTTTAAAGCATCAAAATATTTTTTATTCATAATAATGAATATTTTTTGTTTTATATTTCTATATTCAAGAAATGTGTTAATTATATACAGAGCCGTAGCTAGGAATTTTCAACTGGGAATGGGGGGGGGGTGGGGTGGTGGTGGTATATTTTTTTGAAATAAAACAAACAATTAGGGACTCATAGAAGTTTTTTTTATTTTAATTAAAAATTTGTATTATTTTTAAATTTTGTATAAATTAATTAAAAGCTAAATTCTATGTTTACTTTTCCCTATCAACCTTCAAAAGTGATTACTGAGGGGAGGGGGGGCACCTAAAGCAAAATTAGCATTATTGGTTATTTCCCCATAATTGATTGATATATAATTCGAAATTTAAAGAAAAAGAAGTAAAGTAAATTAAGGAATAAAAATAAATGGTATTATATAGAAGAAGTTGGCTTTAGAAAACTTAATAAATTTTGAACAAATTGTCACTATTTTAAGGAATTTCTTTGCTTATCTTTGTCAAATATAAAATACAGTATGTGCAAGAAAATTTATTGGTAATGTCGATAGGCCTGTTGCTGGATTCCCTTGACGACGCCGTCATATGGAGGGCCCCTAAGAAAAATGGTAAAAATTTGCACTTTCGACCTGAATTATATATAATGTGAGATGTTAATATAATAATTTTAAAAAAATCTTCGTATACTATTATATTACTAGCCTCCTGCAGAAGAATTAAGCGAGAAAAATAACAAGTGGGGAAACGGGAAATAAATAAATTCGACCTTGTTCCTCTCCCCACCTGAAATATTTTGACAGAATGATTATAATCGCCTTTAAGTTGTTATAAGGGGTTTCCGCGATACATATATTTCACTTTTCTTTCAAAGTATACCAGGGTAGAGCCATGCAAAGTCAATATGGTCACCCAGAACCTGGTCTAAAATTTATATTAATTTTAAAGCCCGGGTTTGCCTATTTTATTTACATTTAGCCCAATCATAATTTTAATGATTTTAGGTCAAAGTCTGGCCTGGCTCGGAATTTTTAATTGAAAAATTAAAATATAAATTAAAGGCATTTTTATAAAGTTAAATAACAATGAAATTTACTTGTCTTAATCTTAAATCATATAAAAAATTATTTTCTATTTTATTACTTAAAATTTTTTATTGGCCATCCACAGTTTGATTGTTTTATATAATCTTTATTTATTATTTTAATATTGTTTGGGAGTTTCCTAAATTAATGAAGAAAAAGAAATATATTTTTTAAAATTATTTCTAAAAAATGAAGCCATGATAAAACAGTTTTTGGAAGATGTCGACTGGGGTTACGATATAGATTTCCTAATAATAGACACTCCACCGGGCACATCAGATGAGCACATGTCAATATTTTCCTACTTAAAGCCTTGTCTAAATGTTAATAGTGGTGCTATTATCATTACCACACCCCAAGTTATTTTTTTTCAATAATTTTAATTATGCATTTATTTAAAAAAATATATTAGTGAGGAAGGAAACCCTTTTTAACCTAACCTTTAAACTATGTTTGAATTATAATATTGGGACCATTCTAACTAAAGCACTATAACCAGTTTAATGAATAAGTGATAATAAGATGGAAAAAACGGGGAAAGTTTTTTTTAGAAAAATAAGAAAATAATAAATCGATAAAAACAATATTTGTCGCCTAAAAAATGTTAACATAAAGGAAATATCATTGTTAGACGTAAGAAAGGAGATAAATTTTTGCAAGAAATCCGGTGTACATATTTTGGGCGTCGTTGAAAACATGAACAAATTTGTGTGTCCTAATTGCCACAAATCTTCTTTCATATTTCCTAATCATTCTTCCAATATCAAACTAATGCAACAGGTAAACCATTTGACTATTATTAATTTTAAGATATACTGGCCACCTTAAAAACCATTTTTATAATATAAATTTTTATCTTAATATGAGTAATAACTAATTGCTATTCTTCCTCTTAGATTTTTTACCCTCTTTTACATCTAATTTAAAGTTTACAAAAAATTATGCTATAAACGTTACATCAAAAAAGAAGCGCTTCACTCGTTACATTTGAAAAGAGAACGCGTTACAGTTACTCGTTACCTCTTAAAAATTTTTTTATTTATTTTTTTACCCATATGAAAATAAAATTATGTAAAAATAATATATATCATAAGCTAATCTGAACTCTTGCTAACTTAAATAAATGCCTTCTTTCGGATCTCCTAATTTAATCCTAAAGGGTTTGCCAAGTTTTTAAGTTAAGCGCCTGGCTTCCAAAGGATGTTAGTGTTGTCGTAACATTGGTATGAATTTATATTTATCTGGTATATCAGTATATTTGTTGGTTTTAAAGTCTTCTGTGTATCTTAAGATGTCTTACGTTCAATCCGACATATAGATGCAATGCTCTCATCAAACGGGATTTACAAGCCACGGGTTTTCCTGCAACTTTATGACCCCCAGGTCTCTTCACTGATGGGCCGATAGAATTACACGAATTCCTTGGGAGAAGCATCGATTTTTAGCATGGGACTTTCCTATTGATCCCCTTTCATCCTCCAACATCAATAATAACTTCTTAAAATACACAGAAGATTTGAAACTAACAAATATGCTGACATACCAGATGAATATAAATTCATATCATATGTTACTACAACACAAACATTCTTTGGGAACCAGGCACATTAAAAAGCATAACAAAACACTAAGGATTCAAAAGAAAGAATTTAATTACATCAGAACTCAGATTATAAAATCTAATTTGATATGCTTCATCTGTTCCTTTTCCGAGTAGCTAAGATGACTTAGACCTTTTTCCCCTTCCCTTCGTCTAATCATTATTTTCCCTTTCTTTTTTCCTTTTTAAATGAAGGAATGTTTGTACTTTTTTCCTTTTTAACATTCGCTATTTTGTTAAAAATAGAAATATGTCAAAATTTAAAATTTTTTTAAATATGTTCTTTTTAGTTGCATTGAACTATATTTTTTAATAAAATTTAATATAATGTATTGTAATTATATATAATTTTAATATAAACTATAGATTATGTCAAATACTTTACAAATTAAAACACAAGTCTTTTCTTGTAATAATTTTATATCTATTTTTAAATTGATTTTCAAAATTTTCCTCCGGCCCTCGGCTAGGTCCCTAAAAAATATTATATAATGTTAATTTTTTAGTAGTTACCTTTATATCATCTTTCTTAAAGTAGGCTAAAAAATGGGAAATACTAATTCTAAAATTTACCAATCTTTTATGCATTATTAGTGTCTAACCACTAATGTAGTAGCCAGCACAGATGAAAAAATATTAATGACAAAATTTTGGCCAAATTTATGATTAAAAGGCATCTGAAAGCATTATTCTGAAAATTTTATCAATGTTTAGTGTTCAATTGTAAATTAATTCAATCCATTCGGTGTAGAAAGAAAAAGCTCACATTTTTTATGATCACTCAATATATCTCTATATTAAAAATTATTATTTTAATTATTTGCATATAACAAAATTTTACAGAAAATTTAATTATAGATTTTATTTATTATTAAAATACTTTAATATAAATAACATTCCTTTATTTAACTATTTATCAATGACATATATAATACCTAGACTGACGATTCATTCATTAAAATGCATTTTAAGAGTCGTTAAAAGCAAATCAGGGGACCTGCCATTTTGGTAACACATATAGTAATTATTCTCATGTTAAAACCTACTATTAAATCGATAACTTGCTTCCTTATTATCTCGATGATCCGGTAATTCTTTAATAACGTTTGCATCAGATATAGGAATAAATTAGCCTCTCGTTAATTTATTCCTATAATGATTAGTGTAACAATTGATGTACACTTTTAATGAATGAACCGTCAGTCTAGGTATTATATATGGCATTGCTATTTATTTATTTTAATGATAATATACAATAAAATAATTCAAAATGTATAAATGTATAAATTTTATACAAATTATTATATTAAAAATTTATTGTAAATAACTGTATATAAAAAAAATATTATTACATAAAATACAAATAATTTTTGTTATACATATCGATATTTAAAAAATATAATTAAACAATTATAATTAATACAAATGATTATATTATCAAAATATAAATAACTCAATTCAGACTCAACCGGCAAAAGAAAATAAAAGCTTGCTGTTTATCTTCACCAAATTAAACGATTTTTCTTTTAAATTGTAAAAAATTAATTAAAATTTTTAAAATTATCTAATTTGTTTAACAATATAAATTATATTATTAAATTTAAAATTGTTTTTCAAAAAATACCTTTCGAGATATGCAGATTAGAGAACTGCACAGGCGACTCGGGTCGGGTTCGGACATTAAATAAATATTTTTCGGACTCGGGTTGGGTTGTAAGAACTGTCCGACCGAAACTAACCCAAAAAATAAATATTAATATAAATATCATAAATAATTATTATAATTAATAATGTCAATTATAAAACCATAGCATTTTTTATTTATGACATTTTATCCTTAAAATGTCATTCAGAATAGCACGTAATTTTCAATTATTATTTTATAATTTACATAACAACCATACACCAAACTATTTTATGTGATTATATTTTATTACATTGCATAGTTATCGGTATTATTACAAACTTTACTTTCATCATATTTTATCAAGTTAAATAAAATATATTTTATTAATATCTCTCATATTTTCATATTAAAAAAAATTATTTCAATGGATGCCAGATTAAAAAAAATTGGTAAAAAGATTAAGAGAAATGAATATAAAGTATGTTAATGGCAAATCTGAGGTCTGGAAAAAGTTTTCATTTATATATGAGAAAAACTTAATTATGTAAGTTGCAATTTTTGCAAATATATATTTTTTTAATTCTATAACAAGAGGTTAGTATATTTATATATAAAATATATATTATTAAATTTTTTAGGCACAAATCAACTTAAAAGGTCTAAATGTGTATTTAAAATAGAGAGTAAAAAGACACAATTTAACAATTGATATCATTTTTAGTACTGATCGCAAAAAACTCAAATGTTGTACCAAATTAAAAAAAAAGAAGAATGTACAAAGATGCTTACCATGTTTTATGGACGTGATTTGAGATCATTTGATACAATTCACTGGGAAGGCTTTATTGCCAATATTTTGTCAAAATTTCCTTGATATATGGAAAAAAGCATCATTCCAGATCCTACGACAATTTCTAGAAATTTAATGGATACTGCTGATGGTATACGCAATAAAGTATTTCCGAAATTAAACGTATATATGGGAAAAAGTCGATGTGCTGGTAACAAATATATGAAAATATAGTTAAATTTTTTATAATTTTTAAATTTGATTGTATTTTAACTATTTTATAATATTTTTTTAATTCAATAAAATTCAACTTAATATATAGATTAGATTATGGCCGTCAAATAAACTTTTACTTAAAATGGCGCTGAATAAATACACATAATTTTTTTTAGGTTATTATAATATTCAAATTGTAAAGATTCGGGCTCGGATCGGGTTGGACTAAAAAATATGTGCTCCGGCTCGGACAAAAAAGTATTTTAAATTCGGGCTCGAGCTGCGAAAAATTACTTTGCAGACCTCTTATGCAGATCATAGTTTTTCTCCATCCTCGGCTCTACTATGCCAGAAAATATTTATAATATTTCTTTATAGCCCCCCCCCCTCCCGTTATTTAATAATTTAGTTAATAGAATTTTTAATTTAAATCATGTGATCATTTATAATTGAAAATTATTATTTGTTTTTTTTAAATATATTTCATTTTGATATCGTACATATTATTTTATTTCCGTTTTATAAATAAAATTATTCACAATAAAAAAAATATTTTAAAATTTTTTTCCCCGACGTTATGAGGGGAGGGGGGGAGGGAGATAAACAAGAGCGCTTAGTGCTCAACACAACTGTGCTAAACACCAATAAATAAAATTTTTAACTGAGGGAATTTATTAAAATATTTATAGATGGATCTGTATTTATAAGTAACTTATTAGTCCATCTTCACAAAATTCTTTCAGATCCTCATCAATTTTTATTATCTTTATTAGAATTTAATCTGAATTCATATGTTTTTTAAATATGAGCTACTTGACATCTAGATTGTTAGGACACAATCTACGCTTACAATGTAAACTTAGTGCCCTTTATTTTCTTTTTTTATTTAAAATGTTTCTTAGTGGGGTGAGGGCAGAGTCAAATCATCCTCAACTGAAAAAATAAGTACTGTTAACTTGACATATATTATTTATAATGATAATATTAGAGAATATAAATTAATATAACTTGATTTATAATTTGATTAAAAGTCTTGACTATAAATTTCAGCAACCAAAATGTATTAATAAAATAAAAATGGAAACTTTGGTGGTTGATCTGAATTAAAAACTCGGTTTAAATTATTTATAAAATTGAAAAATATATAACAAAATAGAATATATTTTAAAAAAATATAAAGTAACATTTTGCGTTACTGTTATTCAAAAAAAACGCGTTACTTGTTACTTTTTTTGCCTTCATCGACGTTACTTTACAGCACTACAAAAAAGCATAAAATGTCACATAATTTTAAAAATCTTTTGCCATATTTATGATTAATTAAATTTAAAGAAGATATATGGAATCGGTGAAACTAACTAAAATATTAAATTATTCATGGGCTTGGCCCTTTAATTTTTTTTTTTTAGAAATTAAATTTATTTTTTATACGCTTAATTTTTTTAAAAAAATTTTACAGTTTGATATGTAGATTTTTGGAAAAATATCATACATCATAATTTTTTTTTTACAACTTAATGCTTCAAGAGATCCGAATTATTGAAAAAATATATATTGATAAATCATGAGCCACTTTTGTCAAATGAAAATCCTACTTTCAATCAAAAATTTGATGATATATGTAAACTGTAAAAATAACTAATCTATATCAGTGAGTCCCAAAGAAAATCATTAATTTTCTAAAACAAATATACTTATTATTATAAATATCCTCAAATAAAACTGTTAAAAATTTAAAATATTATTTTTTTGATTAATAAAATAATAGGGGTTTTATTATTTTTAATTTTAGCTGCGTTATTCCCCAATTTATTTGCCCTGATGCATTAACCAAATTATAATATTAATTAATACCCATAATTTAAAATAATCTTGATTATTAGTTTTGTGGTGATTGTTTTGTCTGTACCAAAAATTTTAAAACTCTCCCTCTCCTACATTTTTTTGATCTTCAATTATATTATGATAAATATGGTTTAAATAACCTTTTTTCTGAGAATAAATCTTGTTTATAACAAAATATTACACAATCAGATATGCAATCTAATAATTTTTAAAATGTTTGGTTATTTGAAAAATTTAAAAAAAGATTAATTATGTCTAAATTAGAATAGTTTATTATTTAATTATTATTATATCGTTGATTTTATAACCAACCATCCTGAAACATTATTATAATACTTTCACCGGCATATTTCTTACTCTATTTTCTAAACATAAAGTATGTTTTCACATAACCGAAGTGGCAATGGAATGTGGCTAATTTTATATCCTCAGTCAATCTCTTATCTATCAATCATAATAAAATTCGAAGCTATCTGACCCCTTTAATAAAATTATGTTTTCCGATTAAATAATAAAAAAAATGAGTGATGGTTAGGAGAACCATTTAATTCACAGTAAAACAATCCAGCTTCAGTAGATCATATGGAGTATATTCCAAACTTAGGAATCGTTTAGAAAACTAGTTTTCTTTTAAAAAATTAAAAGTTGCAATGCACTGTCAAAGTTAGCCATAAAATCAATCTTTTAGTTTTAATATCTAGTTTTGGAAGATATGATTATAATTCTGTTATAAATTTTAAAAAACAAACAGGATTTTTTAAAAATTGTATTTCATTATTTTAATTATAATGATAAAATTATTTTTATGGTAAATTCTTAAAAAACCCGATGTTTTTATTTTTATTAAATTTTAGAAGTCTATTTTTTTGAACTGCCAACCCTAACATTCTTTTTTTAGAAGGAAAGTTCACACTTCACAGTCCATTTAACAAACTAATTATATTTTTTTTATAATAATAATTTTTCACTACATTGAGATTAGAATTATACAATTAAATTATGTAAAAAATAGAAACAATGAAATACAAAATACATCAAATATTTTTTTTATCTAATAAGTAATGATTACTAGTATAATTTTTTCATATAAAAATTATTTAATTCTAAAATAATCTAAGTCTCTGTCTTGGTATTTTGATAAAATTTTATTAAAAGATTTAAGTCAAATTGATGTTTATTTGCCAACCCTAGTTTGCAGAACACATAATGGCCTTTTAAATATTGCTTTAATTGAGCATTTTACTAATCATTTATTAACCTATTTCATTCTGATTAAATTGTATATCAAACCTATGGCAGAATGACACATATGGGCTAAAGATTTGGCTATCAAAAAACCGAAAAGACTGACCAGGTCGATATGCTATCACTACATAGCATTTGCATATTGTTAAAAAAATATGTAGGGCCGGAATTTACTTACTAGAACTGCTCCCAAGTTTTATTTTTCTATCTTATATTGAACCATAATGAGCTTTTTACGACATATTATGGAGGTGAGCTAACTAATTTTGTATAAAATTATTGAGCAGGCCAAATAAATATAACTTTAAAAAGGTTTATACTATCCAAACGATTTTTCTCTGAGGGTGGACGAGCCAATTTTTATAGAACAATATTTATCGTATTAGGTGCAGAAATTTACCTCGTGGTAGGTAACATTAACTTAGAAACGGATAATCAATGCTCATATTTTTTATAATTATGACCCATAGGTAAATAAATAAATTAATTAAAAATAACCTTTGAATAAATAAAGTTTTATGGAAAATTTTAATATATCCACGTAAAAAAAACGACGAATATTAGGATGGAGTAGATCAAATCAGTAAAGCGGTTAATATCGAATCTTTAAAAATCGATCATTTCCCCTCAAATGAAACTAACGTACAAAAAATGTGCAAGGATATGGGTGTAAAATACTTGGAATCCATACCTCTGGATATAAATTTTAGTAAATATACAATTTTATGGATTTTTTTTTGAATAAAAGAAAGGAAGGAATTATTTTTCATCATAGTTTTTCTTATTTAAATTTTTATATTATAATTTATTTAATTGAATCATATTTTTTTTTATATAGGGAAAGTCTGCGACGCTGGGGAGTCTTATTTCGAAAAATTTCCGAACACTCCAATATGTGACATTTTTGAAAATATTCGCAAAAAAACTATTATTTGATTGAATTATTAAATAAAGATGATTTAGCTATATTATGTAATAAATAATAATATAAAATTATAATGCATACCACCTTTATAAACCCTATTGACCCTTTAGTGTTAAAGGTGGAAAGAAATAGCGTGAGTGGTTGGTGCATAATTCACCTTCATTTTGAAATTATATCTCATTCAAATTTTTATATTAAGCTTGTAAATTTGAGATATTTATTGAGTTAACCTTAAAATTTTGAAGATTTATTAATAAAGTAAAGACCATTTTTTAAAAACAAATTATCTATTCATATTTTTACTATAAAAATCTATTTATAACATGAAATAATCAAAATTTTTATTTAACTAATATCTTAATATTATCTTAAACAAACGTCGACAAAAATCTTTAAAAAATAATTGAAATGAAGTAAGATATTATTTTTAAAATAATTACTCATTTTTAAAAAACCACAGATCAAAGGATAAGATGCCAAATAAGATAGAATCCTGATCGGGTGTTTTTGCTGAATTTTATTAGGTATAGAGTAATCTGTGGGCCTAATCTTTTGAGCAAGGCTCGGCTCAAATTTTTTTTAAGAACATTTATCCCCCCCCCTCCGACCAGATCCCAAACGAATTTTTTTTATTTGTCCCAAAAATCCCAGCCCAAAATAAAATTTTATTTGTCCGCCATGCTTGACCCGAATTTATTTAAATATATAAAATTTATTTTTTTTCGTAAAAAAATAGCTACAAAAAATAATAGCGCCTTGTTTCTTGCAATAATTTAAAAGTATATCAATTTATTTGACAAAATGTAAAGATATCATACTTAAAAATTTAAACCCGATCCATCCCGAACCAAAATTATTTTTAAACCTTTTCGGGGGTACGGGCCGGGTAGTGATTTGCCGATCTCCAATAGAAAGCATCCTGGCTAGATGTCCCGCTTATCTAAGTGGGCAGGCGAGCGGGTTAAGAAAATAGTAATACTGGTGGGCGGGCAGGTTAAAAAATTTATAATCTTTATTTGTTATTTTAAAACATTTAAGTAGTAAACATTAAAAAAATATTCTCCCTGAAATTTCAACATTTTTAATATCAAAGTACCGATAACTGAGGATAGGAAGAAATGAATTAGGTAAAATATTTCGAAAACATGTTGAATTTGATTTTCATGGAAGAATATAACATCAACTTGGATGAAAATGATTTTCCCCATTTTCACAAAAGCAAAGAGAATTCAACTAAATTATTAGGTAAAAAAAAATTGCCAATTCCAGCAACCGGTGCTTCTTCTGAACAAGGGATTAGCATTGCTGGAAGGTTTTTAGTATCAATAAATATTAATTTTATGTTATTAGATAAAATAAATTCCTTATCCCTACTACAAAATTGAATATTTTTTTAATGCTTAATATAACATCTTCCTAAATTTTAAACTTTTAGGGATGTAGCACTGAAACTAAATCATTTCTTTTATTGGATACTTAAAAAATTAGTTTATTTATGGGCGGCGTAAGTTAAATATTTTAAAAATTAATGGGCAAGCGTGTAATAAATTGACTAATAACGGGTAAGGAATTTTAGAGTAATAATGTGTGAGGAATTTTAGAAATTTTATATTTTTATAAAAGCGAGGCCGGATTTTGAAAATATTGGACCTGCGGCTGAAAACCCGCCCATTACAGACCTCTAATCCTGGCTATAAATGGATCCAATTTCAGTATCAATACCTATGTTTGTATTTTTAAATAATTGGCATATATATAATATATTGCCTTGATATTTAAAATGTAATGGATTCGGTCCAAGTGCCGAACCTAAGTTGTTTGGTATGGGATTGGATAATTTTTCAGACAATGCAAACCTGTATTGCTAGCTTCAGTATGTTTCTTTTGCAATGTGTTATATTTATAACTTAAAATAATTTTTTGAGCATGTTTTTAAAAATTTTTAAATCGGAAATATATTCTATCATGTTTGGAATACCTATCTTATGAATTGTAGACTTTGCTGTAAACCCTGAGTCATTTATAATTTATATAAATAATTTATGGGAAATATATTATAAATTATATAAAGTTTATAATTTCATGGAAAAATTATCTGAAATTCATAAGGTATGTATTCCAAACATGACGGCATAATTTCCGGTAAAATCAGATTTTTAAAAACGCGTTCAAAAAAATGTTTAAGGTTGGAAGAATAACACATTGGAAAAAACACATTGACGCTAACACATATTATAAACAGATTGATCAAAGGAGTATTTGACCTTATCAAACCTTGTCAAATACTCTAAAACTCTGGAAAAAAAAATTAAAAACTTGTTTGAAAAAAGAAATTAATAAATGTGATCACATGGTTGCTTATTTATTAAGTCCATAATATCAAGAGGAGCATTTTATTAGTAGTGAATTTAATTAAGTGTGTAATATAATACAAGTTGATCAAAATATTTCAAGTGACACCATAAATTTTAGAAAGTATAAGGGGCATGTTTAATAACAAATAATGTTGAAAGTAGTAACTTCCATGAGAAACAATAAGATTCCAGCATCAAATAAATGGAATGGGCTTCACCATGATCATTAGCAGAAGTGACATTTTACTAAAAATTCCTAGTTTCTTCAGAAATAAATTGGTCGATTTGGGTTAATATTCTCACTAAAACAGAAATCGATTGAAGATCACGACAACAGGAAATTGATTGAAAAATATTAAAGAAATGATAATATTGGCTACGAATCAGAACAAGACTCCCACGGAGAGCCAGCGTCTACATGACAGGATTTTCACTGGATGCAAATCCCCTTCAAAAACCTTTGCCTACCCCCCTAAAAAATTCCACAGCCTTCGGCGGCGGTGTCTCCCTATTATTATTTTTACCTTTTTAATTTATTGATACTCATTTCATAGAATTTATAAAGGATAACTTAAATTAATCTATCTCTACTACCAACTATCGATATTTTGTGAATATAAAGAATTTATTTTTTAGATAATAAATTCAATTAAAACCTCCATTATTTACAATGAATTAATTATTATGGCATTATGAGCTTGCTGAAATATCAAAACCTTTTAAATGTAAGCAGAAAGTTATATTTGGAAAACAATGTGCATGATTGTTTGCAATATACAGATTTGGTCGATGAATATTGTATTATAATAATTCTATGATAAAAGTATTAATTTTTACAGCAATAAATTTTGTACTATTTCATCTCAAAATTTTATAGATAGCCCCCCAAAAGATTTATCTTACCCCCATTAAAGCAACCTACCCCCCTCAAAAAATAGGATGCGAACTGTTCCTACCCCTCCCATGTAGACGCTGCGGAGAGCTAAACATTAGTTATTGAATGACAATGAATTTAAAAAATATTAAATCGATTATAGATTCTTTTTACTATTATATAAAAAATAAAGTTAATATTGTCTTAAAAAACATTTATTTGAATTTTCGGCCAATCGACGGAATCTTTTTTGACCGGTCAAATACACAAACCTGATTATAATATTAAAATTTATTTTATAAGAATATATAACAAGTCAATTGCACTATAAACATGGAAAAATAAAAATAATAGTTAGAATTGATAATGCTCCTTCTCAAAAGGAGCTAGCTCCCACGTAATTTCACGAAAAAATCAAAAATTATTTATTAACATAAAGCGCATGGAATTTTCCAATTTCATTTAAATATCGCGATTTTTAACAGTCTAATATAAAAAAAATTGGTTGGGATTAGACCTCTTTCCAAATTAAGATTTTGAAACGAACTTAGATCTAGTATTGTTTAAAAGGCGAGTTATTACGACTCCAAACATAAGTTGTCGCAAAACTTATTTCAAATTGAGCGGCTCAAACCTCATGATTTGTCTCAATGAGTCGGCTTCAGAGTCAGCTCGATGAGTCTGCTTGAAAGTCGGCTTCATAGTGTGTTGAAATTTATTTTGAATCACGATTAATTAAAAATTTTTAACTACCTAAATTTGGCCATTTAAATATTTTTAAATTCGAAATTTTAGGACTATTGTTTATTATAGTAAGAATGAGTTTAAAAAATATCTTTTAAGATCTTTTTGCTTGTGTCTACGGCCTAATGGAACTCTTCCTTACTCATTAACTAAGAGGTTCGCCCAATTTTTTATTGTTTCGAAAGAGTTTCCTAAATATTGACTTTATGACAGGTATTAATGCTAGCTAGTAGGTTGACATTCATTTATTGTTCACAAACCACATGTTCAGTGAAATAGTGTTTGATATAAATTTTATTAGCATAAGTAGAATAGTGTGTTCATTATTCTTATTATATATAATCCAACAAGTAAATTTTTTAAATAATGAATCTTATATTTATAAAAATTCCACTTTAAGATAATTGTGATAAATCTATATAAAAAGATTAGAAATTATTTTGTACCCATTATAGTTGATATTAAAGCGCCAGAAAACATTATTACAAATGTTAAAGTCACCCAAATAAACCAGAATGTAATTAATAATTTTAAAAAAACTTTTGCATCATCTGGTATTAAAATATTTTATGGATCTCAATCAGGAAAAACCAAGGTAATAGTATTTTTTAGGAGAATATTTACCAAAATTAATTTATTGTATTCAAACTATATTTGTTTAGTATTTTTTTAAATGTGACATTTTAAAACTATATTTGACATTTTATTGTACTTTTAAATATTGTGGAGAGACTTCTTAGATTTCTGTTTTAGCTTACTCATTGATTATGCCAAAATTCTTAAGCTTTAACAAATATTGATATTCACTTCATCCTTTTCTAAACTTGATAGAATATTTACCAAAATTTTTTTTAATTTACAGAAAAAAAATATGATATCTATATATTCTTTTTACTCTACTTGAAATTATAAAATTATAATCTATTTTTTTGTGTATTTATTTTAGAAATTTGCAGAAGAATTATATTACAAAATCAAAAAAGTTAGAAACGAGATATTAAAAATCCCAATCAATAATTCTAATGAGTTAGTTATTGTGGATTTAAATGATTATGAGCCAGAATTAATTTTGGAAGAGGTTATAAAAATTAAAATAATCAAATGCATCTTTTTTCTCTTTTATAATTAACAAATCTTAAAATAATCTATTTGATACTTTTAAATAAGATATCTATTATAGTAATGGAATATTTTTATTGTAACACCTAAAACATAGAATACAGTGATAACATAGTATTTATACTATAAAAATCTCTTATATTTTTTCTTACCCTCTCCTTTCCTTTATATCTATTTATCTCTCTATTTTTTCCCCTCCTTCTTTTCTATCATCTATAACATTTTAGCTAGTCTTTCTGACCTTAATTATAGAAATTATTTCATTTTTATGGTTTATATAATAAAAGAATATGTAGTTGATAGGATTGAATAGAAATTCAAAAGTTTTATCACCACTAATTTAATAGGTAACAAATAGTAATGAAAAAGGCAATAAATTATTTTATATTAGAAAAGTTTATGCATCATAGTGATCTCCACATATGTTGACGGAGAGAGTCCTGACAATGCCAAATGGTTCTGTGAATGGCTGAATCAAGCACCTGACGATTTTAGAATAGATAGACATGTCTTGAGGAATGTTACATTCACCATCTTTGGTTGTGGGAACTCATTATACACTGGGAATTTTAACAAAGTATAAAGTAATACTTAGCCATTAAATTTTTAAAGTTCTCAAATGAACTAAAATATTAAATTCAGTAATGAAGCATCCACAGAAGCAAATGTAACACCTTGCAATTTGTAAAAATAAATAGTATTAATTTTTTACATAATAAAAATCAGAGACCTGCAGGCCCAGCCCTAAGCCTGAGCTGGCCATATTTTAATTTTTTTTTAATATACCCAGGCCGGGCTGTATATTTTAAAACCAAAATATTTGAAATCGCCATTATTAGCTGCTATAAAAATCAAAAATTTTTTAAAAATTGGGGCTGGGCCTGAAATTTTTTTTAAAAAAAAGCCAGGCCAGACCAAAAATTTAAAAAAAAAAAATCTGGGCCGGGCCAAGACGTGCAAATGCTACCTCTGCAGGTCTCTAATAAAAAAAAATAATAATTTTTGACAGAGTTAAAGAACAAAGTGTGGAAATAAAAAAAATAGGCTTCTCTTGTAGTAAACCTATAACTTCGTCATTTCATAATCCTTATAAAAAATTTATCTTACATAATTGTAAAAATAGATAAATAACTTGCTCCAAATGATTAAGTTACAAAATATTGACTCATTTATTTTTACTTTTATGTCAATACAATATTGCATCTAAGCCCGATAAGAAGGTTACACGAATGGAAAGGCGGGCGAGATCCACTACAGTGGATAGGTTGGGCATTTCGAGGACGGGGGAAAAGGCTGGTTAGTCGGAATCTTAGTAATCGATTACAAATTTAAAATGTAAAAAAATGAACTGCTAGTTACAAAGGACGACTTTGAATACGACTCACTTTAATTAAATTATAAACGAATTCCTAGTTACAAGACAATTCCTATTTTTAATTAAGTTAAAATTATTCCTACTATACCATTATTTCAGGTCTTTTAAAACCAGCTGCTTTCATGGCACCACTTTATATGAGTGGCTTCGTATTTGATTTTTTTTAGTTATAGACGTTATACACGTAATTATTGACCACACCACTATAAAAGGGTATATGTAGATTTCTAGGTTGAGTGGTTTACGATTTCTTATCATTTTTATTCCGATAATAATCAAATTAATTAGTTAAATTTAATGCTTATGGTATCAAAGTAATCTAATGAGTATTGCGTAATTAGAAATAAAATACTGTATTTTTATCAAGACTTTTTTTTCGTTCCTATTTATGGAAAATTTAATAAAGCTATATAAAAAACAAAAACATTACTCTTTAACGTTTACGAAATGTATATGATTCAGTGCGTAACCTAGATGGGGAAGCTAGATTATGAGATAAAAATAAATATTAAAACTATTTGTGCGTATTGGTATTTTAATAAAATTTGATAACAAAGTGCGATAAATAAAATTAAAAAATTATTTCAAGTGCTGTTTTGTTAAAAACAAGTTTAAGACAAAAACATTCCATAACATGTTTTGTTGGACATATAATGCGAGAAGAATAACCTAGAGAGGAATGCCATAAAAAAATGAATAACTAAAACTCAGATCGCATTAGCGATTACCAAAAAAATATAGATGAAAAAAGTTGAAGAACTACCAGAAATCCCTTCCGGCTTGGCAATCTGCTACGGCGGGGTTTTCTCGAGGTGGAGAGATGATTTTGTTTCCTCCATCAGGTCTTGAAGAAGTTCTTTACCTGGCTACTGGGTTTTCATGCAAGCGTTTGTAGTATAGGATGGTAGATCTTATGCCTAGATATTCTTTTCAACGGCCTCGAGACACAGGAAACTGGATATGGAGTAAGTGGGTTCGGAAGGTCTTCCATTTTGTTACGGCTTTTGGCGCGATTGAACGTCTAGGTTATTGCGAACCAGGGCGTTAGCTTCTTTCTATCCTCCCATCAGCAGGCTGGGGTGTGTGACCTCATGACAATCGGGGAGGTCTGCATACTGGGTAGGAGGGTTTAAGAGATCTTACATCAAAGAAAGAAAGAAAACCCTATGTTAGGTCTGGTGGATGGCGATGGAGTCTCTATTCTGTAGACCGTAAGTAAATTTAACCTATCTGAGACTTGCCATTATTTAGTTGTTTACTGGTGTTCATCAATATTGACGGCAGGGCCATAAACCTCCATTCACTAGCACGAATTCGCAGCGAAGTATATAAAAATGCACTAAAATACAGCAGATTTTGTATACTCTGCCACGAATTCATGTTAATCATGACAGGGTAACTATTCATTCATAGTTTGCACGAATTCGCTGCGGTGAATACAAAAATGCAGTATATTGTGTATAATTTGCCGCGAATTCGCGCTAACTATCAGTGAGAGGTAACCTGACAGCGATAAATCACCCAAGGTACGAGTGGCCGTTTCCGATAGAAAATCCGTACGAGTTTGGGGGGAACGAGTACATCTCCTTCCTTCTCACCTTCGGCTCATGTCGGGGTCGGATATTGCGACAGTTATTCGTTGGTTTTGGTGGTCTTTTACATAGTACAACACGGACCTGAATGTCGAATACTATCTTTTTCCCATCGGATTTTGTATATCAGGGGGAGTTTATGCTTATGCGAGGTCTCCCTTTTGTAAATCGACTTGTGTTATGTGAAGAGTGTTTACTTGGAGGATATATATCGGGAGGCGGATATCCCGCCCTAGATATAAGGAGGGTTTGTTTTGTAGTGAAGTGGTCAGTTGAGTTTGAATTTCGATTCTCGGTAATTCCTTTGCATTTTTGAAGGTTCCCACAGACCGTTTGGCTATCCCATTACTTTGTGGCGAATAGGAAGACGCACAGATATAAGTTATTCTATGGTGGTGCCAGTTTATTAAAATATTTGCCATATGATTTTGAGCCCATTGTTGGTGAATGTTTTTGGGTTCAATGTAGATGAAGAGCTGGAGTTACGGGTCGTTAAATATTAATCGATTATTATTAACGGTGATATTTATGCATTGGCCCGGCCATGTCTATAAGTACCCTTTCTCCTATTTTGATGGATACTGGCCAGATGCTGGTTGGTAACCTTTGAGTATTTTGTTTGAATTGTTGACATTTTTTACAGGTTTTGTTAGAATAATTATTCGAACTGAACTATCATATTCATCAGTCGAAAATTAAAAAAATATGAATATAAAAATTATGAATTTAAAAGTTATTAATATTTTAATTTAAAATTTGTATAAAATAAAAAGGCTTCAATAGTTATAACCTTGTTTAAATCGGATCACCAAAAATATTTTCTTGTCATATTTTTTATATGAATTATTCCGGGATGTCCACCTTAAATTTCTTGTAATATCATGTGTGGTAACCGTCGGAGAATAATTAATCTGGTTGGTTTCACAGACAATTATTTTTTCATCTACTGATAACTCATTACGTATTTCTCAATGTCTTCTAAATTCCTGTCTGGTTATCTTCGGGGGCTATATTTTCCATATATAATGTTTTATCTGGGTTATTTCGGGTTTGCTTAGTTAGGGATTCCATTTTGTCTAGTAAATGGTAACATGTTTAGCTGGGTTTAGGTTATTTGGTTGACATCCGTCTCTTCTACGGGGTCGATTTGATTCATATCTTGTAACGGTAATCATAAAACGGCGTCGACATTTAAGTTGGATGTCCCTGCTTTGAAATTGATGCTGAATCTACCCCCCCCCCCATTGTTATAGTTTATCAGATGTCATGGTATTTATAATAATCTGTTCTCCAAAAATAGCTAGTAATGGTTTTGTCTGAATCTTTTTACACAAAGTTAATGGATAGGGATTCCTTTTCAATTGTTGAATAGTTTATTTCAGCTTTGGGTAAAGTTCGTGATGCATTAGCAATTAGTTTATCGATTTCGTTATCCCATCTATGTGATAGTAAGGCTTCTACATATCACAAGATTTAGGTGAGTGCGGATTACTTTAATTGCGTTGAAGCTGTTATATGTTCCAATCAAATTTTACTCCAAGGTGTAGTAGGTCGTATAGGGGTTTGGATATTTAATGACAATTTAGGGATCAAATACATCCCTATATAGAATGCATTAAAAAAAATTTAATAGAAAGGGGGGGGGGTTCAAAAATATGGAACTGGCTCTAATTTATAAAAAAAATTATTGTATATTTGATATGTTTAATGTATTAACCACGAGGCATAACAGTTTCTTAACCTTTTCATTTGTTTTTAATAAATAGTAGTGTTAAAAGAATCGACAATTTCATGTTTAAATTGTAACGAATCAAAACATCTAAACTTATTTTTAAAAAAAAAAAGGTTGGACAAACTATGCACCAAAATCTAGCGACTTTAGGGGCTAAGCCACTGATGCCATTTTTCCCCGGCGATGAATATAGAGGTATTTTTTTTTTAAATATAGGTAATAAAACCCTACATACCATATTATATATAGCTCTCGTTTTAACATTTAAACCTCCTATATTATTTTTTTTTCAAACGAATATTCTATATCTGTAAGATGTCAATTTACTAATTAGCTAAATATCAATTAAAATGACATTTTAATTTAACCAAATTATTTTAACACCCTTAACCCTCTAGGTAACAAATTAAAAAACACAAAATATTAGATTTATATTTAATGCTCTGATCAGGGGTCCAAACCGAAACCAATATCGATTCTGTTCAGGTTCGGTTCGTAAAGAATAAAAATATCGGTTCGGTTCGATCCTTTAAAAACTGGTTTAGACACTTTATTCAAACATATATTCGAATTATGTATAGGGAAATTTTTTTTATTTCATCATTAAAATAAAAAACACATACATAAAACCTTCATTTTTATTAATTGCACACAGAGTTGGGCAGGTCCTCCGGAAAAAGAATCTAGATACAGATACAGATTCTTTATAAAAAAATCTTAGATACAGATACTAGTATCTTGTTCAAAATATCAAAAAGATACAAAATAAAAGATACTTGTATCTTTTACTAAATTAGAGTATCTTAAATACAAGATACTTGTAAATTATCATTACCAATTAAATTAGAATAGTTTATAAAATACAATTTTTATTATTTATATGTGAAGAAAATAGTATTACACATATAATAATGATTATTTGTAATAATTAATAAAATATTTATTGATGAATTAATTATAATAACCAGGGATTTTAATATTAACTTTTGTCCTTTAATAGCTTAAACAGGGAAGGGAGAGTAGTATATTTAATGGGAGTTGAAAATGTGCAAATAAGAAAAAAAATTAAATCAAATGATTTATTAGAATTTGCAGGTTATTTTTTGTGTTGTTTTAAATATATATTCGGAGTATATGGCTAAATGGAATCTCTAAAAAAAATTATACTAGTTTTATTTTATTCATTATATTTAATAAGTATTTATCATTACTTGTTTGTGATATTTATGTATTTTTTAAATTAGTTTTATTTTCTAGTATGACTTATTAAATCTTGCATTTGTAATATATATATATATAAATATCATTTAAATCTCTTTTCAAATTTTTTTAATATATTTCTTGCAAAATCCTTAATTATATATAAAAAATATAAAAATAATGTACAACATTATATTATTTAATTATTAAATATATAACAATTTTCTTTAATGCATTTTAAATTGATTAAATTTTGTAGATAAATACTGTAATATAATTTTACTTATATCATAAATAAATAAAAGTAACTAATAAAGTTAAATTCTACCTTATTATAATTATTTTATTAAGAGCCTTTTAAAATTATCTAATATTATATATCAATTGTATTGTAGCTTAAATATTTACTCTAATAAGATGCTAAAATAATTAAATATAAAATATATTAAGGATGTGCCAATATTTTTTATCAAACCGATATTTCACCCATTTTAAAATATCAATTATCGGTCAATATTATAAAATTTGATCCAATATAAAAATGGCTTCTTTAACAAAAATAAAATGTTATAAAATTTAAAAAAATAGTTATATCTAAAATCATTTATTTTTATAAATAAAATCGAAATCCATTTTTATGTATATTTTTTTAATAATAATATTTAATTAATAAACATTCTACCATATTGTTATTTTTTTGCGCATTCTGTAAGTGTGCGATAATCTCTTCAGAATCTGTTTTTAGTGAAGCTGGTTATATAGACTGTTACTATCGCCACTAGCTGACCTCTGATAAATTGGAAATATTGGTATTACTTAAAAGAAATCTTCGCTATATTAATGTTAAATATTATTTTAAATATTTATTTCAAATTTCATATTATAATTGTTTATTAATTAATATGTATATAGATTAATGTTATTACTTGTTATATAAAAGTGATTTGACAATAAAAATATTTTATATACTTTTAGAATTGCAATTGAATTGAATATAAACTATAACTAATCATTATAATATATTTAAATGACATTATGGTATAGTTAAATTATAGATGTTATACTAATAAAAAGTATATTAAAAATTAAAACCATTGGTATCTTTACAGAATACAAAATTAGATATGATATCGGATCAGTACGGCCGATATCAATTGAATATCGGATCTCGACCTCCAAAAAGTGGTATCGGTACACCTCTAAAAATTATATATACAAAATGATTTTAATTTGATAATCAACCATCTTCTATAAAAATTTTAATAACAATTATCTAAGAGGGAGTATAGGTATTATTATGTTAATAATTATAAAATAAAAATGTGTAATATACTTTAATATGTTTAACAAAGTTTGTAGAGGAGTTTGTTCAACCTTTAATAACTTTTTTACTTGTGCAATTTTGACATTCGGCTTGTACCTTGTCCTTTTTCACATGAATTAATTTATAAAATTTTCCATCTAGAATTTTAAGATTCGGATTTGTTTCAGGAGAACCTATCTCCATAATTTCATCTTCACTACTATAAATGTTAAACATTCTACAGATTAAAAAATATTTCATATAAAATATAACCTTTACTTATTTAGTTTTGGTGTTGTTATTTTTAATCTTTCTATCTTTGTGATCTGTAAAATTTCCAACTAATTTTGGTTATCAATATATTTAAAATATAGCAGGAAAAAATAAAGAAAATAATACAAGATTTCATGAAGAAAATAAATTTAGATTATGTGATATGTAAATGTTTTAAATATGAATATTAAAAAGAATCTGTATCTGTATCTTTTTAAAGAAAATGAAAAAGATACAAGATTCTTTTCAAAATAAAGGATCTTAGATACAGATACTAGTATCTAATTAAAAATATAAGATAATGAGTACAAGATACAAAAGGATCTTGTATCTTAGATACAAGTATTCACGGTACTGCCCAACTCTGATTGCACATTATAAAATAATATTTAATTTATAAATATAACAAACAAATAGCAATGATTAATTTTAATATGAACATTATTTAACTTTATTTATTTAAATTTTTTTTTTATTAAGCCGCACAATTAATATTTTTTCAAGATTCTTTTCACTCAAATTATATATATAAGGTTTAATTGTTGAAAAACAACTTGGGTAGCCGGCACTCCCAGTATATTATTAGACAATTTACATAATTCTGAGTATCGATTACTCTGATTTCTCTAGTTTAAAATATTCATATTTTTATTTAACCTAGGTTCTTTAGAAAAATTAACTAAAATATTTCTAATATTCACCAATTTTTATAACAGATTTTGTTTGTTACCATCTTTTTTTTAAAGAAGACTTACTACTAAATCCTTTTCAGATGAAGATACATTAAGTTGATTCACCTTCACTAGAATCCTCCATTCTTATAACAACGTTTAATTCCATGTTATGCCATATTTTAATAATATGCTCTCTAACCTTGATTTTTTCTTCTTTCAGAAAGCACTTGATATCTATATAATAACATTGAAAAATATATAAAGTTAAATAAAATTATAAATTAAGGTAAATAAAATTATTAATTAAATTTATATAAGATATAATACAATATTTTTAAAATATACCTTAAATCTAGATATAGGCATGACAAAAAGTCATTGTTTTTTAAAATTTTCTCTCTAAAATTCATAGCATCTATTATTGAACCAACAAAGGATGAAGTAAAAATAGAAATTTCTAATTTAGCTATATGCCATAAAAATTCCCTAAAGTTAGCTGCTCGAGTTATAAGTTCTTGGTTTCTATTTTAATTGGTTTTAGGATATTTTTCAACCCTATAATTGTTTTCCATTCCAAAGCTGTAAAATAAAGTTCACTGTATGATACTGATAATTCCTCACACATATCTTTTAATTCATTCAATCTCTATAGCATGTCTTAGGTTGATAACCATCTATAACAATCCAATATAATATTATATTGAGAATTATTAAGATTGATTGTTAATTCATCAAGTACTTTTGCGAATCTAGTAGAAATATCATTCAAATTATCTATATTTTGTATTTGTTCTTCTTCATCATTTTCAGACATTTGATTGTATCATCACTATCCTCCATAAATAATTTTATCATCTTAATAAGATTTCCCCCATTGTCAATTGTTATAGTGTATATTTATAATGTTTTGAATACATAATCATTTAATATTTTTATTAAAAGGAGTTATAAATTTTATGCAGTTGGCCATTATTCATTGCTAGGATTCTCAGAACAATTTTTGTTTTTTGAATATACTGAAGATTAATCCCAATAATGGGTCTGTCTAGACGAGTAACACAGTCAATTTTTAGATATAACTCATCATTTATTTCTTTGATTATATTTTGCCCAATACTTAAGGCCTGCAACATTAGATTTAATATTTTGAGAATTAATTTTAATATTACCCATGCCTTCTAATATAGGATCAAGAATTTTATTAAAACCGCTATCATCGATTAATTTGAATGGTCTGCCATTAAAAGTTACCTATTAACTACAAGTTTCGATTATTATTATTTTTATTTAGTTTGATATTTTTTGTTCTTTTAATGCTTCTTTCGTCTCTTAGCTTGATGACATCTTAAACTTTTTTATTATATTAGGCTTTTATTTGATATTTTGTAAATTTTATCGAATTCTAGAGGGTGATTTCTTTTTATATGACACTCAAGATTTGCTCCATGATGGCCTTTCATATTTATTTGGCAATCAATTGAATTTGATTTTTCTCTAGACATTTTAATTTATAATATTTAAAAAATGTTGTAAAATGGCAATATACTAAAGTTTATATAATGTCTGAAACTTATCAATCAGATGTGATTGATAATAATCTTTAAAACAATTCGAATATAATTAAAATTTTTGCAATATATTAGTAATAATCACATTATTTTATGCATAAAATCCAGAGTCTCGAATCGGTTAATAGGCATTTTAGCGGTTCGGTTCAGGTTCGGCTATAAATTTTTTAGCAGTTTAGGTTTGATAAAAAATACTGGTTTTTAGATGTTTAATGGTTGAGGTTCGGTTTGGATCCCTGGCTTTAGTGTTGTTAAACGGCTCGTTTTGAGCCGATTTTTAAAAACGGCTAACTCAATATTTCATCTAAAATAATATTACGCAAGCCTGAGGATTTTGTTTGTAGAAGGAACAAAGGTTTGGATATATATTAGCGAAATCTCGAGGCTTAGGCAATATTTTTCTGGCTAAAATATTTAGTTAGCCGTTTTTAAAAATCGGCTCAAAACGAGCCGTTTAACAACACTACCTGGCTCTGATATTTTTATTGATGAAACCCCAAAAATATTAAAATGAAATAGATTTTTAATCATTCCAATTTATTACAAAAGTTATAGATCATTTATATTAGAAAATTAATCCAATATAACATTTATTATTTTTAAATATTCCAATGCTAAAAATAAAAAAATAAAATTTTATGTTTTTTAAAGCTATAAAATTATTAATAGGTAATTAAAAACTGAATGGTGCTATAAATGCAACGTTCCTCTTTTTTTAAACACATCTCATGTCATGATATGGTTGGTTGTAGGTGGTATCCCGTTTACAAAGAAGAAACTAATAAGTTAAAAAAGTAAATTTACTCTTTTTTGCAGGAAATATTGAACCGCTAAATCATATCAAAATTTTTATATCAAATTCTTAAAAAGATTTGGTTATTGCCACTTTTGGAGGGTATATTATTTTTTTTTATGTTAATTTTTTTTCAAATTAATATATCATTTTTTATTTAAGATATTTTATAAAGTTTTTTCTACAAAATTTTTTTGGTAGATGAAACTTTGCATTTTAAATTATTTTTTGGTGATAATACTATAATTAAAGGAAGATCCCATAAATAAAAAAATATTTATCAACTTTAGGAAAATTACTTTTTTTTGTTGATAATGCCAACAAAGTTTTTAAAGAGGGCATTAGGGGTAAGGTAAATTTTTGGTAGATGAAACTTTGCATTTAAGAATTTTTTGGTTATCAATAATTAAAGGAAGATCTCATAAATAAATAAAATTTTAAGACTCGTGTCTTTAAAAAATATTAAAGAACCAAATTATTAGGCCGTTATACAATTTTAAGTGCTTCGAAGGAATTAGATTATGATAGGAATGCAATTTCTAGATGGTAATTTAAAGTAAAATATGGTTTTTTATTTCACTTATGTAGGTGGAAAAAATTTTGCAAGGTATGTGTGTTCCATATAGCTTCGAATCATTCAAAGATCAAGGAGGGGGCGGCGGCGTTATCTAAATTGACGAAACTCATGTGTAGAAGCGTAAATATAATCGTGGTCGGCATTTAATCTCCGAGGCTATATGGATCATCGATGGCATATGTCGGGAAACAAATGAAATATTTCTAAGTGCTACAACAACAATCTAGAAATTGCATTCCTCTCATAATCTAATTCCTTCGAAGCACTTAAAATTGTATAAAGGCTAAAAATAATTTGGTTCTTTAATAACTAGTCTTAAAATTTTATTTATTTATAAGATCTTCCTTTAATTGTAGAATTATCACCAAAAAAAAATTAAAATTCAAAGTTTCATCTACTTTACCTTACCCCTATGCCCCCTTTAAAAACTTTGTAGGCATTATCAACAAAAAAAAGTAATTTTCCTAAAGTTGCTAAATATATCTTTACTTGTGGAATCTTCCTTTAATAATAGTATTATCACCAAAAAAAATTTAATATGCAAAGTTTCATCTACCAAGAAAAATTTAAAATGCAAAAAATTTTGTAGAAAAAAGTTTTTAAAATATCTTAAAAAATGATATATTAATTTTCCTTTATATTATCAATCACCAAAAAAAATAAAAAATTAAAAATGCAAAAAATTTTGTAGAAAAAACTTTATAAAAAATCTTAAATATAAAATTATTCCTCCTTTAATTATAGTATTATCACCAAAACAAATTAAAGTTTCATCTACCAAAAAAAATTAAAAATGCAAAAAATTTTGTAGAAAAAACTTTTTTAAAATATCTTAAATAAAAAATGATATATTAATTTTTAAAAAAATAACATAAAAGAAATAAAATAATATACCCCCCCCCCCCCTGAAAGTGGCAATAACCGATCAAAGACCCCATCTTATCTTTATTAATTTACTGAAGCTTGTTTAAATGTCTTAATTTAAATGTAAGTTTTAAAATTTAGGCATTTTCTTTTTTCCTGGCAAGTTACTAAGCACTATATTATTTCCTTTTTTTTAAACCAATCAAATCACATCTTTAACTTTTTTATAACATATTTTTTATTTTATAAAAAGTTTAAAAAGCATCATGAACCTTGATAGATTCTAAGCACATGATTCCTTACCCATGACTTTTACATATATTAGTTCGAACCCCTACTTTGCTTTTTATGAACAATCTCTTCCTCACTCCCATATAACTCAATACACTTAAAATTCAAATCACTAATGAATTCTTACATTTTTTTTAACTATGAACTTGAAAAATTATATAATGTTAATTAATTAATAACTTTTACACTTAAACCTAAACATTCTCATTACCGGATTTTATATATATTTTAAACTTCCTGAACTTTAAAAAATAAATACATAAGTTTAATTTTATATTTGATAAAGAGATTTACAGTATTTAAACTTTATTTAGTTTAATATTATGTGCAATTATTTTTTTTTTCAATTTCAAACTTTTCTTATAAGATTTGAAAGATGATTTCTCCAAATGGAATGAATCACTGATCGATATAATTTGCAATCAATCTGAAGCTGAAGTTACAATTCCCCAATCAAAAATAAACGATGTTTTGACATACAGCGTCATTTATAATGGTTTTTCTTATATTAATTGTCTTTAAAAAATCTAATACTCATTTTATGGAATATTTGTTTCTTAATTGGGTTTTATTTTTGAGAATTCACCTTTAAATATTATAGTGAATATTCATATCTAACAAAGATTCAATATATATTTTATTTTATGAAATTAAAAGAGAGAGAAATTTAACACCCAACTCTGCATATACAAAGATAAGCGTCCTTAAAGGGCGGAATCACACATTTTTGTGAAAAAGTATCTTATGTTTTACCGAAATTGGAAGTTAGAAATTACAATTTTTTCCCCGGAAATCTTTTATAAATAGAGATAAAATTAAATTTGTACAAATTTTAATACTAAAAACGAGCATGTATATATGAGTTCATTGCTTAATCTTTCTTAATTTATCTAAAATGGATTATGTTACCTTAATAATTAATATTTTCCATATAATTAATATATATTATTAGCTAAACTAGGGTTTATTTATTATATTCATTATGAAATTTATAACTGTCTCATTTTCCCGAACTTTAAGGGGTAATATTTCAGTGAATGTGCGGATTACGAAGTTTGGTGATAATTTTTTGGGTTAATTGGTAGTTAAATTTACTGCAATTTAAAACAAAACTAATTTTGAAGGGGATCGGGTTGAAAATCAACTTTTTTTTGATTGACTTACCTGCCTATTTATACAAACCTAATCATTAAATATTTTCTCTTCTTATATATATATGTTAGCGGCAATGTGAGGTAGTGGTAGGCAATGTAAATGTGAGATTCGGCAATGTGAACATTGCCTGGTTATTTTAGGCAATGTGTATTTTACAAATTTATAAATTTATTATTTATTTAAGATTAATTTATTATTTATTTAATATTAATTTATTATTTATTTAATATTAATTTATTATTTATTTAATATTAATTTATTTTTTGATATAATATTTTAATTTGTTATATTATCTTTTTAAATATATTTTTTGATTGATATTTTTTTTTAATATATTATAATATATTATAATTTGTTATATATTTTTTTACATATTTTTTTTGATAGATATTTTATTTTAATATAATTATTTTTTTATATATTTTTTTTGATTGATATTTTTTTTTTAAATATAATTTTTTTTATATATTTTTTTTAATATAATTACTTTTTTAAATATTTATTTTTGACGTAGATTTTTTTTGATAGATAATTTTTTTTTGTTTTTGGTTTATATTATTTTTTAAATAAAACTTTAGAGGTAATATATAATATATTTTTTTTGATATTTTTTTTTAAGTATATTGAAATAATATATTATAATTTGTTATATTATTTTTTACATATTTTTTTTGATTGATATATTTATTTTTTACGTAGATTTTTTTTGATAGCTAATTTTTTTTTGTTTTTTGGTTTATATTATTTTTTAAATAAAACTTTAGAGGTAATATATTTTAATTTGTTATATTATTTTATTTTTTTTTGATTGATATTTTTTTTAAAATAATTTTTAGATAATATATTTTAATTTGTTATATTATTTTTTTATATATTTTTTGATTGATATTTTTATTATAATGGTTTTTTATGTATTTATTTTTCACGTAAATTTTATCTTGATATATTTTTTGATAGCTAAATTTTTTTTAATTTTTTGTGTTATATTATTTTTTTAAATATATTTTTTGATTGATATTTTTTTTAAGATAATTTTTAGAAAATATATTTTAATTTGTTATATTATTTTTATATATATTTTTTGACTGATATTTTTTATTATAATGGTTTTTTATGTATTTATTTTTCACGTAAATTTTTTCTTGATATATTTTTTGATAGCTAAATTTCTTTTTTATTTGTGTTATTATTATTTATTTAAATATATTTTTTGATTGATATTTTTTTTTAGAGATAAGATATTTTAATTTGTCATAATTTTTTAAATATATTTTTTGATTGATATTTTTTTTAAATGATTTTTATATAATTTATTTTTAACGTAATTTTTAATCTTTTGATTCCTAATTTTATAGGTAAAAGTGACAAAAGGTATAATCGTAATTTTTGAACTTTTTTAAGTTTTTAAAAGCAATTTTCAGTGAAGATGTATTATAGAAAAGTGACAATTGTCATAATTGTTATTTTTGAACATTTTTTAGTTTTTTTAAAGTAAATAGGTAAAAATATGTTTTGTAAAAATGTTAAATTAATATTTCAGTGAAGATGTACTATGGAAAAGTGACAATTGTCATAATCGTTATTTTTGAACATTTTTTAGTTTTTTTAAAAGTAAATAGGTAAAAATATGTTTTGTTAAAATGTTAAATTAATATTTCAGTGAAGATGTACTATGGAAAAGTGACAATTGTCATAATCGTTATTTTTGAACTTTTTTGATTTTTTTTAAAGTAAATAGTTAAAATTATGTTTTGTAAAAATGTTAAATTAATATTTCAGTGAAGATGTACTATGGAAAAGTGACAATTGTCATAATCGTTATTTTTGAACATTTTTTAGTTTTTTTAAAGTAAATAGGTAAAAATATGTTTTGTAAAAATGTTAAATTAATATTTTAGTGAAGATGTACTATGGAAAAGTGACAATTGTCATAATCGTTATTTTTGAACATTTTTTAGTTTTTTTAAAGTAAATAGTTAAAATTATGTTTTGTAAAAATGTTAAATTAATATTTCAGTGAAGATGTACTATGGAAAAGTGACAATTGTCATAATCGTTATTTTTGAACATTTTTTAGTTTTTTTAAAGTAAATAGGTAAAAATATGTTTTGTAAAAATGTTAAATTAATATTTCAGTGAAGATGTACTATGGAAAAGTGACAATTGTCATAATCGTTATTTTTGAACATTTTTTAGTTTTTTTAAAGTAAATAGTTAAAATTATGTTTTGTAAAAATGTTAAATTAAAATTTCAGTGAATATGTACTATGGAAAAGTGACAATTGTCATAATCGTTATTTTTGAACATTTTTTAGTTTTTTTAAAGTAAATAGGTAAAAATATGTTTTGTAAAAATGTTAAATTAATATTTCAGTGAAGATGTATTATGGAAAAGTGACAATTGTCATAATCGTTATTTTTGAACATTTTTTAGTTTTTTTAAAGTAAATAGGTAAAAATATGTTTTGTAAAAATGTTAAATTAATATTTCAGTGAAGATGTTATGGAAAAGTGACAATTGTCATAATCGTTATTTTTATACATTTTTTAGTTTTTTTAAAGTAAATAGGTAAAAATATGTTTAGTAAACGTGTTATATTAATATTTCAGTGTAGATGTACTATGGAAAAGTGACAATTGTCATAATCGTTATTTTTGAACATTTTTTAGTTTTTTTTAAGTAAATAGTTAAAATTATGTTTTGTAAAAATGTTAAATTAAAATTTCAGATGAATTTAAAATGTTTGACGCATAATCTTAGTAATAAATATAAGGGCTAATAGTATTTAATGTTCGCTATATTGCAACATAGTTAATTGCTAAAATTTATTTCGTTTATAAATATATTCATGAAAATGTATTTAGTGATAGATATACATCTCAATAGCTCTAACTTGTAATTTTAGATAGTTCACTAAAGTGAATAAATATTTAAAATATATTTACTCACAGAATTGAAATAAATAAGTCAAAGATATTATAGTTAGTTGATATACAAATAACCGATGCAGGATTCATATTTAAATATTTCGCAGTTAATATTTTAGGAAAAAATAAATTAATCCTAAAAATATTTTATTTATACATCGGTCTACTATTATAAATTATGTTAAAAAACATTTCCGGCTGCTATGAAGATTAAGGTGTAATCGTAATAGTAAAATTTTTTATCATTTGAGGTCATTAATGTATTCATGCTGAAATCTCGAGATTAATCAAATCAAGGCATTGACGATTTGCAGGAAAATAATTCATCTTTAATTTTCAATATATAAATAATAGCGAATTTAGGAATTTTAATGTTAATCTTCCTGTTAGTGTCTATATAATATAAAACATATCTAAACTGAAATTTTAATTTAACACGTTTACAAAACATATTTTTACCTATTTACTTTAAAAAAACTAAAAAATGTTCAAAAATAAGGATTATGACAATTGTCACTTTTCCATAGTACATCTTCAGTGAAATATTAATTTAACATTTTTACAAAACATAATTTAACTATTTACTTTAAAAAAAATCAAAAAAGTTCAAAAATAACGATTATGACAATTGTCACTTTTCCATAGTACATCTTCACTGAAATATTAATTTAACATTTTTACAAAACATATTTTTACCTATTTACTTTAAAAAAACTAAAAAATGTTCAAAAATAACGATTATGACAATTGTCACTTTTCCATAATACATCTTCACTGAAATATTAATTTAACATTTTTACAAAACATATTTTTACCTATTTACTTTAAAAAAACTAAAAAATGTTCAAAAATAACGATTATGACAATTGTCACTTTTCCATAGTACATCTTCACTGAAATTTTAATTTAACATTTTTACAAAACATAATTTTAACTATTTACTTTAAAAAAACTAAAAAATGTTCAAAAATAACGATTATGACAATTGTCACTTTTCCATAGTACATCTTCACTGAAATATTAATTTAACATTTTTACAAAACATATTTTTACCTATTTACTTTAAAAAAACTAAAAAATGTTCAAAAATAACGATTATGACAATTGTCACTTTTCCATAGTACATCTTCACTGAAATATTAATTTAACATTTTTACAAAACATAATTTTATCTATTTACTTTAAAAAAAATCAAAAAAGTTCAAAAATAACGATTATGACAATTGTCACTTTTCCATAGTACATCTTCACTGAAATATTAATTTAACATTTTTACAAAACATATTTTTACCTATTTACTTTAAAAAAACTAAAAAATGTTCAAAAATAACGATTATGACAATTGTCACTTTTCCATAGTACATCTTCACTGAAATATTAATTTAACATTTTTACTAAACATATTTTTACCTATTTACTTTAAAAAAACTAAAAAATGTTCAATAATAACAATTATGACAATTGTCACTTTTCTATAATATATCTTCACTGAAAATTGCTTTTAAAAACTTAAAAAATTTCAAAAATTACGATTATACCTTTTGTCACTTTTACCTATAAAATTAGGAATCAAAAGATATAAAATAGAAAAAATTACGTTAAAAATAAATTATATAAAAATCATTTTAAAAAAATATCAATCAAAAAATATATTTAAAAAAATTATGACAAATTAAAATATCTTATCTCTAAAAAAAATATCAATCAAAAAATATATTTAAATAAATAATAATAACACAAATAAAAAAAAATTTAGCTATCAAAAAATATATCAAAAAAAAATTTACGTGAAAAATAAATACATAAAAAAACCATTATATTAAAAAATATCAATCAAAAAATATATAAAAAAATAATATAACAAATTAAAATATATTATCTAAAAATTATTTTAAAAAAAATATCAATCAAAAAATATATTTAAAAAAATAATATAACAAAAAATAAAAAAAAATTTAGATATCAAAAAATATATCAAGAAATAATTTACGTGAAAAATAAATACATTAAAAACCATTATATTAAAAAATATCAATCAAAAAATATATAAAAAAATAATATAACAAATTAAAATATATTATCTAAAATTATTTTAAAAAAAATATCAATCAAAAAATATACAAAAAAATATAACAAATTAAAATATTATATCTAAAATTATTTTAAAAAAAATATCAATTAAAAAATATATTTAAAAAAATAATATAACACAAAAAATATTTAGCAAAAAATAAAAAAAAATATATCAAGAAAAAATTTACCTGAAAAATAAATACATAAAAAACCATTATAATAAAAAACATAAAAAACCATTATAATAAAAAATATCAATCAAAAAATATATAAAAAATTAATATAACAAATTAAAATATATTATAATATATTTCAATATATTTAAAAAAAAATATCAATCAAATAATATATTTAAAAAACATATTATTATATCTAAAAAAATAATATAAATTATCAAATAAAATTTTAATCTTAAAAAAATTATTAATAATAAAAACAAAATTATTAATAATATAATATTACAAAAATAACATTGCCGAAATCTCACATTTACATTGCCTACCACTACCTCACATTGCCGAAAAAATTCCGGCAATGTATACATTGCCGGAATTTTCACATTGCCGCTAACATATATATATATCAGAGACCTTCAGAGGTACCATTTGCACGGCACAGCCCTGATATTTTTAAAATATATTTTTTAATTTTTATAGCTAATAATGACAATTTAAAATATTCGATTTTAAAATATACGGCCCGACCCGTGTATTTAAAAATAGGCCGTGTCTAGGGCCGGGCAGGAGATCTTTGATATATATATACACACACTACACTACTATAAATATTTTCTTATACTCTCAAAATATTATTTTTTTAAAAAAAATAAACAGCCAAATCCCATTCTTCCAAAGGTGAAAATAACAAAAAGTTCTTCAAAATAAATTATAAAAGTTCCGTTAGCCACGTCAACCACCAAAAGATAGATACGTTAAATGGTAAGACGATGTCTTGCAAATCACCCATCAACATAAGTTCCCAGAAGGAGTTTTTGACCGATCTGGAAGATATGGGATCTATGTTGGAAAAAATTCAAAAATCATCTTCAAAGGTAGGACAAAATATCTCACAATAAAAATTAAAGAGGGAAAGTAAGGAGTTTAAAGAAACAATAACCTTTATAATATAAAAAGGGTTTGCACATTTCTTATTAATCTTATATTTGCTATCTGGATTTGATATACAATAAACCTCTATAATAAACTTTCGTTATTCTTAATCAAATTTGAAAGTCCAACCAAGAATTCTATCTGAGGTAATGTTAAATTATTCGGTTAACCTTCTTAACTCTTTACTAACTAATTATTTACATTTAATTTTTTTAATATAATAATTATAAATAATATTTATTAATTAATTAACTATTCAATTAATGAAAGGATTATTAATTAAATTATACATTGTATACTTTATGATAGAATTTATATTGGATAATCGGATATAATTAACTTTCGCTATAGTTAACTAAATTTCAGGTTCCCCTGGGCTTTGACTATAACTAAGTTTTACTGTATCTATCTATCCAAATCTAGTTCCCATATTAGTTAATACCTCCCTTTTTTTTATTATACAATTTAAATTCTTATCTATCACTAATCTACCTAACTAATTCTGATTTTGTGGCCAAACTATATTTATGCTGATTTATACAAACATCAGAGATTATTCTAGCCTACTCAACACCTGTCTTACCTTTTTTTTAAAATAAAATTATCTCGCACTTTCAACTTAGACGGATGTCAATAGTACCCTGAAAATAAACTCATCTAAGGCTGAATTAGATAAAAACCTCTCTAATCCGTATGCTGAGATGAAACCTATGTTAACTCCCGAAGCTAAATCACGCCTCACTAAGCAAGGTTACTTTTGTGAAATCTTATCTTTATATTTAAACAATTTTTGGTGGTAAGACTGTTTTTTTTAAATATCTTTTTTATTGAGTTTGACACTTATAACATTTTAAAAGAAATTAAATGATCATTTTTATAAGTCTATTTTTCTTTTAGACTTATTTTTGATAATTATTTTATATTTCTTAAGATTATCATTTTTTATTTCAAACTTTCATAATAATACAATAATAAATTACTAAAAAATAATATTAATTATTATTTGTTTATAAAATCGTTATATATAAATATAAATATCACAATAAAATAATAAATACATAACTGTTTTTATTTGTTTTCTTTAATATTTCATCCTTTCTTTTTCTTCATATTCAATTCAAAGTTAAATTGACATAAAGACTCGTATTAAGGCCTTCCATGTCAAATATCACGATCAAATTTACATACACTAAGGTTCGGGTAACCTATATTTGGGCACAATTTTAGCCTCCTAGTTATAATTTTGGAGCCAGAGGTAGAATCTTAAATAATGAGATTTTTTTATGTGTATCGGTTTTAATTTAATTAATGACTAATTAAAAACACGCTTGTAAATAATAAACATTAAAATAAAGCGTATACTTTCCTTTGCATACGATAATATATGAAAATTTCATGCGTCACTACGGTTATAATAAGATTTTAAACAGATATTATTATTACCATTCTATGTAATTACAACAAAAAATTGTAGAAAAGTCTTTACGATATCATAAGTAAAATCGATAAAAACTAGTTAAATTACATGACATATTTTATTTGTTTGAAGGATTACTAATGTTCCTATAAGATATTTTAAATAATATAGGATTAAAGGGTTCTATCACAATATTTCGATGCCTGGCCAATGAATATGGCTTTGGAGTGCAGGGGGTTAGGTTTTGAATCGCGTTGTGAAGATTCTTAACATAGAAATATGGGACAGTTCCTTTATTGATTAATTTCTTTCTATTATCAATCAATTGGATTATTTATGCCATCTTTTAAGCCTTAGAAACATGCACCGTGCAGCCCTCATGCCTGGCTTAAATTTTATAGGGTAGTCTGGGCACAAAATAAAACTATAAAAAGTAAAAAAATTAATAGATATATATATATATATAGTTAACTTTGTGCCTCGGGCCATTATCTAAAAATATTTAAAGAAAATATAATTAAATTTTATATCCGAAATTCAACAAAATATTTTGCATGAGCTGCTCGGCTCTTAATTTTTTTTAGCCCAGCCCAGCAGCTTTCAGGCTGAGCTGTGCAGTTCTAAATTTAAAATACTGTATAACTACTTTTATTGATTGATAATAAAAAGAAAGAATTTAGATTTTAGATTTTCACTGTATCAATGTTTAAATTATCAAATAATTTTCTTACAACTGATAATCGCTGAATTGTTAATTGAAAGAAATTTTGATTTTAATGCTTCAAAAATTGTTGGACACAAGGAAATAAATAAAGCCATCGTGAAGTATATATATGGAGGAAATATTAATCCAGGATTATTTTGGCATAAATAACAAAAAAAATTATGCCTTATGTGACCTTGCCTTAAGTTTGCATATATTTTAGGGATCTTTTAAGACCCATTTTAAAAATATAAGTTACTAGCTGATAAGCCCATTAACAATTATGGCTAATCAGAATTTTCTTTTTTATTCAGTGATGGGTGAATGAATTTCATCTTTATATGATGATGGTTGAATCAGAAATTTTCCTATCTTATGAGGTGTTATTCAGATTTATATAGATAAGGGTTATTTTAAAATTCTCTTTTTTAAATAATGTTAATGAATTATATATTTTGTAATTTTAATTTATGTGCACAATATAAAATCTTTTAAACTAAATTTATTTGTAATTTATAATCTAAGAAATACATTCCTGCTAGATGAGTTTTGCATTACATATTTTCGATTTAACTTTGCCCCACAAAACTCTCTTCTAGCAAGAATATATTTTTTAGATTATAAATTACAAATATAAATGAACAAAAATTTATTTTAAGATTATTTATTGTGCACTTAAATTAAATTTACTAAATATATATAAATATATTTTATCAAAAATAATGAAAAATTTTAGAGAACCCCCTAAATAGATATAAATTTCTGAATCACATCTCATAAAATGGGAAAATTTCTGATTCATCCATCATCAAATAAAGGTAAAATTTATTATTCAAACCATCAATGAATAAAGGAAGATTCATTCCTCGTCATTCTTAAAGGACTATCAGCTAGTAATAAGTGATATATATTGCTCTTTATGCAAACTTAATCTACACGTTTGGTACCTTGACGATTATACTATATCGGGGACCATTTCTTCAATCCAAAATTGTCTAGATATAATCAACAAACACTTTGATGAACTTAATTTATCCTTAAATATAAATAAAAGCGAAATTTATCCTTCTCCGCCTCCAACAGACACCATATTAGGTAACTTTAGACGGACACCCTTACAAGAATACAGTATATTAGGAGCCCCATTGGGAGGTGCAGAGGGAGTTTTTAATTTTTAATAATCACCTTCAATCGCTATTCCACAAAATTACCCATCCATCATGCATATTACATTCTCAAAAATGCCCTTTTAATACCACAAATCTAGTATTGTTTAAAAACTTCTGGTGCCTTCTCTTTTGAAATTCTTTTCATGGCTGCTTCAAGCAACTCTCCCTTGTAAATCCGGAGGACTAGGCCTAAGATCTGCATTAAGTATAGCCCTTGTTTCCTTCATCTCATCAACCTTATCAGTAAAAAATATTACCTCGCAAATTATTACCATCGATAAAGATAATTTATTAGATGAAACCTTACGTTGTTAGAATAATAATGTCTTACCAAACACAGCCCTACCATATTCAACGAAACAAAAAGATTGGGATCAAGGATTGGAATCTCGTTCCTTAGCTTACCTCAACTTGAGCGATGATCATCAATGTAAATCCCTCCTAAGATCTCTTAATTTCAACAACTCTGGCCATGAATGTTTAGATTCATATCTTAGCATTTTAAATAATCAGCTAATAGATAACGACGCTTTTCGTTATGCAATCAATTTACGCTTGGGCGTACCTTTCCTAAACCATTATATTTGCATTAAATGCAATCAATCGGCAGACGCGTATGGGAGACACGCTCTCCACTGTAAATTTATATCAAAAATCAGCCGACATGATAAAATAAATGCAATAATAGCTTCTTTTTTAAATAAAGCCAATTTTCCCTGTATTTTAGAACCTACATCCCTTTTCGATAAAAAACGCCCTGACAAAACCGTCTTACCTTTTTTTATGGGAAAGCATTTAATATGGGATTTTACCTGCATTGATCCCATGGCTCCATCTAATAATTCCCATGATCCCCTTAACAGAGCCGAATCTCTAAAAAATATAAAATACTCACACCTAATGTGTGATAACCACTTTGTTTCCATAGCAGCTACATCAACCTGCTCTTTTGGACAAGCGACTTTAGATCTATTCAAAATAATATCCAAATCAATAAAAAAATCATACTTTTCTCCATTTTACAAACTCAAGCAGAAAATCGCCTATCTGTAATTAGATCAAATTATCAAATAGGCCCGACCTCCCCATTTGATATTTTTCTTTTTTTAAAAAAATGTTTTTTTTCTTTTTATAAAAATATACATTTTTATCAATCTTTTTTTTTTAACTTAAACTGATATATGACATATTTTATTTTCTCTATATTATAATGTTAATTTTTCAATAATATTTTATATTTGAATATGAATTTTAATAAAAAATTGAATTTTTAAAATATAAACAATTAATTTTAAACAAGGAAAAATATGATACTCCATCTACAATATAAAAAATATCTCATTCTTTACTAGTTATTATTGATTTTGCTTAATGTCTTAAAAGCTCATCTTTAATTTTTTCTCGTATTCACAAGGAATTGTAAAAGTATGGTTTTTTAATTTTTATTGAAATCGGAACTACCAATTTTTCTATATAAAGTTCTTAAAAATTGCTTTGGGCAGAAAATGTCCAAAAAATTTTTTAAATATTTTTTAAATTTATTTTCTAAAAGTAGCAAGTAGTATTTAAATTTTATTAAAGCTTGTAGTTTTCAATCAATTATTTATTAAATGAAAATCGACACACATGAAAACATTTATTCTTCTACCCCTGATATTCCCAAAAATATAGCAGCTAGCAAAAATATGTTTTGTTAACCTTTTTGCATACTAAATTTAGTAAAAATGGAAAGAGTTGTCTTTGATCGATTTGACATGGAATGAACATATCTTTAATATCTAATGTAGGTCAAAGTTCAATAAATAGATTTTTAGAAGTTATAAGGCAATCATAGTTTTATCCCTATTATTCCTACTACTCATTAGACTTTTAATCTGCTTCAGATTAATAATGGTATAAAAAAGTTCACCTTAAATTAAATTGATATTGCGCGTTATACCAGTTATACTTTACTTATTTTTTTATTCATACTTATCGCTATTTTTGTTTGGTATTGATTTTTTTTCAATGAAAGGTTACAGGATAGTAGGTACTCATTCCGGGGTCAAGCTTTGTAGATGGACCAAATCGGCTCTTAGGGGGAGAGGCGGTTGTTACAAACACTCATTTTATGGGATAGATTCTTCCAGATGTGTTGAGTCTACACCCAGCCTCGCCTGCGCTAATAAATGCGTTTTTTGTTGGAGGTATGCTTTGGATATCGTCTCCGCATGATTTTCTTTTCAAAAATTTTTTGAAGTTAATTTTAATTTAAAAATTTAATGGCATCAAAAGAAGTATCTAGCGAAAATAGAATAATTGCTCTCAAAAGCCTCAAAGCGGTAGAAGAAGGTTATTAAAAAACGTTTCCAAAAATGCATAAGTTGATTTCATTAAGATCCCCCCCCCCTCATGCTTATATTTTAAAAGACATTAGTTAATTCGCCATCAGTTATATAATTATTTATTAGGACCATATTTAGTGGTATAATCATTTTATTAGAGGAACCAATTTTTAAGAAATTATTTTCCATTTCAGTATTTTTTTAAAAACTTTGATTGACAATAAAATCTATTCTTTTCTTTGTTAAAGCTTTTCATTTTAATTAATTTTTGTGTACTCAAAATTTTTCATCGATTATAATTTGTTCAAATACGATATTTATTTCATTTTTTTTCTTCACATATTTTAAGTGTGGATACTTGGAAATATTTAGATCAAAATATGGGTATTTAAAAATGATTAAAATTACACTGATTAGGAATATAGTATATATATTACATGCATAAAACTTTTACACCTCCCTTAAAAGACATCATTCTAATCCCGTGGGCACAGAGTGGAAATGGCAAATGGACGAGCCTGACTTTATTTTTAACGAGATTATCGCGCAACACAAATGTAAAATTATTTATTTATTAGGATTTTATTTAAAAAAATTTTAAAAATAATAAATTGATTATCAATTATTAACACTAGTTATTATCATAATCAACTTTCCTCAATTTCTTAGCCTTTTTGATACTAAATTGAAATATGAATGTGTTGATTAGTTTGCCCTTACTTATACCTACTAATAATTTGTCATTGATTAACTGGAGACATGCTTCATTATTATTTTTTCTTTCAATTAATTTATTTAAAGTTTCTGTCTAGGATCAGAATTTTCAGTGTCCAAATATATTATCTATATTATAATAGTACAATAAATCACTTGCTAAATCGATAAATTGTTATTTCATAAAAGTAACTAATTTTCTTTCTCGTTATCACATCCACATACGGTTAATATAGTTATTTATTAAAGGAATGGTAGAGTATTTCATCTCCTCCAGAACATTGGTTTTAGACTGGATATCAGAGTTGTTAAAGTATCTAGATACAAGTATCTAGATACTGTATCTAGATATAAAAATGTAGTATCTGTATCTGTATCAAGATAGATTTTTTAGAAAGGTATCTGTATCTGTATCTAGATATTTTTTTAGAGGTATCTGTATCTGTTTTTAGATACTTTTTAAGATACATTTTATATACCCCTTTTTTTATTATAAATAAAAATATATATTAATATTTATTAATACTATAATAAAGAATTATATATACATAAAATATTAAAACTTATATATAAAAAATATATATAAATATTCATTAATTTAAATATTATGTCCGAGTTTATCAATAAACCATACAAATTTTAATATTACAATATGGAAATGGTAAATTTTATTTTATAACTAAATTTTTAAGTTTATATATTTATTTAGATCTATATCGATGAAGAAGAGGAAGCAACAAGTTCTATTACTTTACCATGGCCAAATTGAGCATATTTTAAAATAATATCTCAAAACAAAGAAAACAAAAAATTCTCTGATGGTAATAGGTTTGCCGTGTCTACCTAAAAATACAAAAATATCCCTCAGTATGACTTCAACGTGCAATATCGTGAAGCACATAAGGGTATAGATATTATATATTTAAAATTCTAATTAAAATTTTAAGAGAAAATATCCAACCTTGTTAACAAAAATAAAAAAGGGGAAGGAAAATAAAATACTAAAGAAAATATTGGCAAGGCTCATCCTCCAATAATATTTTTGCTAAAAGACTGACTTTAACTCAAGGTACTTTAGATGATTTAATTATTGCTTTTATTATAGATGGCATGCAGCCATTATAAAAGAAAACAATTGATACAAAGATTAGCTGGTAAATTATCAAAGTCATCAACTGGCTGCAAGCAAATAACCTGCCAAAAAAAACAAATAATTTAATTTCAGATTTTTTTCAGTACCCTACAGCAAATATAATTTCTAATAATGATTTAAATTTTGATAATCAACAAATTTTAAATAACTTTTTCAAAAATAAATGTAGAGATTTTAGCATTTTTAAAGAACTGATATAAAATTGTTATTTATTAAATATAACACTACAATTCCTTCAAGCGCCCCTGTGGAAAGACTATTTAGTGTTGCTAAAAATGTCTTCACAGATAAACGAGGATGCCTAAATGATCAAAATTTTGAAAATATTTTATTACTGAAATCTAATAATTATTTAATCATATATTTTCATATATTATATTAAAATTATAATTTTAGTTATATTCTGATAAATGTTATATCACGTCAATAAATTTTTAGCTCATTTCATGAATTTTCACAATATAATAAGGTTTATGCAAACCTATAAGAGCATAAAAAAATGTATCTGTATACAGATACATTTAAAAATTGTATCTGTATCTTGATAACTTTTTAGACGCTGTATCTGTATCTGTATCTAGATAACTTTTGAGACTATGTATCTGTATCTGCATCTAGATCCATTTAAAAAGTATCTTTTAACAACTCTGCTGGATATAGATGAAACTTTTTATCAATCCTTGGTTCAATATTGTTTTAGAAAAAGAAATATTTTTAATTATATTTTATTTATCATTATTATTTCTAGTAATTAAACCTTCTATTTTTTATTTTTTTTATTAAATTTAAACCTGTTATATTTTTATAATCATTATAATTATCATAATGCTGAATTTGTCATATCATTTCTTTTAGTTTTAATTTTTAAAGTAACAATAAATCCCTATTTTGAAAATATTTTTATAATTTTTTTTAGATAATATAATTAGTTTAAAACCGGTTCTTATAAGGATTAACTCAAAACTTATATTTTATGTAATATTTCTAATGGGAGGGCCATTAATGAATTAGAAAAACAGCTTATGACAAAACATTTTCAAAAGGCCAGTTTTAAGAACTCACTTTTTGACATTTTGTTTTGATATATCGCTGTTTAGAAGCTTAATCTAATAAAAAGTAGGTTTAATAGTTAAAAATCTATAACTATAATAAATAATACCGGTAGCATTTTTTCATTCGCCTTCGTTCGATTTATTTAATGTTAATTTTTTATTTCATACTTTTTCTGTTTAGCTATGATAAAGCAGTTCAAGGGAGTGCCAGGGGTAATTCCCGAAAGGCTAAACCTAGCTCTTACGCCTAGGCATTGCGCCTTATCGCTCGTGGGAGAACCCATAATGTATCCCAAAATAAATAACTACGTCCAACTTTTACATAGAGCCGGAATTTCTACTTTTCTCGTTACTAACGCTCAGTTTCCCGATCAAATTATGTATAAAAAATTTTAAATTACCTTAATTTATTATAGTTGTAGCCTATATCTAATAGTCTTTCTTTTAAGCAAATTGATGATTTTAGCTTTAATAAGCATTTTTTGACTCTAAAATTGATAACGATTGACTTGTGAAAAGTGCTATTTAAAAATATACATGAGGTTAAAAAGATGCTATAATTTTTAAATTTTTCTTGTTTTAATATTGAAGTAAATGGAATATTATACCTTTATTATATTATTCATAATTTTATTTATCGAAGAGAAAAATGGAAGCTTTAAAAGTAGAAATTAGTTAATTTATCACTTGATTACTATTTGTAAATTTCTTCTATTTGATCTATTTATTCTCTTACATAACTAATCACGACCTTTAGTTGTCCGATCTAGATTCATGTTTCTCAGAGGATCATAATTTTGAATTTATAAAAAATTGGTATAATAAAGAAGATATACTTTAATAATAATTTATTTTTTTAAAAAAAAAATTTATTTAAAAGAAATTTAGACCCTGTTACACAATTGTACGTGAGCATAGATGCTCACGACAGAGAAAGCCTGAAAAAAATTGATAGACCACTTCACAAAGATTTTTGGGAACGATTTATAGCAAGCCTAAAAGCTGTTTCTGATTTCAAAGGTAAATTTTTATATTAACCTTTATTTATTTGAGAATATTGTGTGAATTATTCATATTATTTTGTTAAACATTTGTTGTTTCAATTTTTTTTCCTATCTTTAAATATAAAACGAAAAGGTCTAACTAGAACTGTTTATAGGATGACCCTTGTCAAAAAATGGAATTTTAACGCCAAAGATTATCTAATCGATTTAACTGATTTAGATAGCAACAATGCCATAAAAGATAAGGAAAAATATGTGTTAGAAGATTATGTTAATAGGTTCGAGGAGGATATTAGAAACTATATCGATTTGATAGCTCTAGGACGACCCGATTTCATCGAGATCAAAGTTTTTTTAATCCCATGTATTAAATTTTTCATGTATATTATAAACAATGGCTTAAATCAGAGAAGCACTAATACCATTTTTTTCGCCATGCTTCCTACGATATCTTAATATATTGACCACACTATTACTTATACTTATGTAATATCTCATGTTTATTGTAAAAATACATACCCAAAAGAGGCACCCTAAACTGTAGAAATTTGTGAATTTAAATCTTTTTTTTTCTTTTGAGCTAAACATAATAATTATCAATCTATCAATTACAAATCACATTTTACTAAATTAGAGGTCAGCCCGACCTGGCCTATGTAAATTTTCTATCGGGTCTTTCTGCCTGTAGTTATTATTCTGGCCTAGCCCATATAATATATTTTGTACAAGTTGTCATCCGGCTCCTATTTATTTTTTATAAAGGAAAATGACATAAATTTGCCTAATTATAAGTTTCACAAACCTTGGCCTGGTCTATGAAAATATTTCACACAATTTCTCGGGGTAGTGCTAATTTCTATTAATACCTTTTGAATATTAGTTAAACTTATTTGAAGTTTAATAAGTGAAAATTATTTAATATCCTTTTCTAAGGTTAAAAATTATATTTTTCCATCAATTTATTAGATCTTATATTTGTAACACTATCAAACAATACATAAATGAATGACTACTGTTTCTTAATGTAAATTTTAATAATAAATTAAATATATAAGATTTTATCAATAAAATATTTAAATTAAAAACTAATTTTCCAACTTTTTTTATAGTCCAAGCCAAATTTAGATTGTACTATTAATATGAAAAAAAATTTTTACAGAAGCTGTTGCACCAAAGAGTTAATTGAAGATTTAGTAATACTAATGGTTAATAACAAAATAAGTTTCTTTTAATGAAGAATAATTTTTTGTGAAACTTTGATTGCAAAGGAATTTTGGAGTGAAGATATCACGTAACCAATTCCATGAAACATTTACAGCGAAGACAATATCGCATAGTTATTTCCGCGAAACCTAAACCGCAAACACCTTGAGCGAATTTATTAAAAATTTTATCGCGATCTATAGCGAATTTCATTGCCTATTTATGGCGATTTTTTCATCACTAATATATTTCCTGGAAGTCATTAATGCGAGAGCATTACTGCAAATCAGAGCGAAATGTTTAAGGGTATTGTTCCTTTTTTCTACTAAGTAAGTAAGAGTTGACTTAAATCCTTTATCTGATATGATGAAGAAATAAATTCACACTTTCTTTCTAATTTTTCCCACACCCCAATAAATTTATCACCCCCCCTTCCCTCCCCTAACATGAATTTTTAAAATGTGGAATTTGCGCTTTATGCAATTCAAAATAAATTTTAGCAAATAAACTGAAATGCTTAGAGCCCCGCCAGGAATCTAACACATAAAAGCGAGTTCAGATGATTTCTTTTATCCATTACACCACTTGGATGCTTTAAATTATTTAATATAAAATTGAGAGTTTATTTTAAAATTTAATCACCAAATTTTATTAAACCCCTTTTTAAATATATATTAACTCTACTCTTGTATCCAGGCTAGCTACCATCTCTCTAATACTTGACTAATTGTGATGACGAAAAATAGAATCTCGAGAAATAAATCTCTATGGGATTTGACCTGCTAACCCTTGACTTGATACCTCAACCCATTGATCCACCAGCTGTCATTAAAAAACAATTTTAAAAAAAATTTATTTTTTATTTACAAACGATAAATATTGATGATAACAGTGAAAGGGTCAGGCATAGAGATCAATTACGGAAGAGATTCGTATTGAAATAGTTTATAGAGAAAATTGTTAAAAGAAAAAAATTATTATTTAGGAAAAGTACCGTGGAATTTTTTTTTGGATAATGTGAACATGAAAATTATAGTAAAGATGCAATATGTGCTAATTGAGATGATACGGTAGTGTAGTGGCGTAAGATGGGATAGTTAGTACGTGCGTTTTGGCCACCATATATGTATATGTATACTGACCAAGGTACTAAAACCAAGTAAATTATGTGGAATATTTTGAGTAATGAAGGTAAAGCGAAATTGAAGGAAACACAAAGCAAGGTTATAATGTTACCCATAAATAAGGAAAGCAATTTTTGAAATTGATTTGGGGTAATTAAATAAAATGATTTTGCGTGAAATATTGCGTAACATTTGTGGGTAATTATTTGCTGAAGAAGTATTTGATTTTTTTTTGTAAAAATTAAAATAGGGCAGTAATTTATATATGTTGTAGTGTTGGAATATGAAAAATAATACGAGGTTAATCTCGAGAAATAAATTGGGATTTGAACTGCTAACCCTTGACTTGATACCTTAACCCACTGACCCACCAGCTGTCATTAAAAAACAATTTTAAAAAAATTTATTTATTATTTATCAAACGATAAATATTTTTTTTAATCGAGTTTTAGTCTCAAACTGTCAATACCATTACTTCCTTACTTCACATATGTGCATGGCATAAAAATTTCTTAAATTGGTTCACAGCGGCTATGCATCGGGGTATTTTTATAAGGTCTTTATGTCAAGATCGATTACCAACAATAAGAGGCCGAATTTTATTATATGTTGCTTTCCTTTGGATCTTAGAATTGTAATTTACATTTAAAATGATTTAGAAATAGTTATATTAAGAATGTAATGTGACTGATAAAATAAAGTTGATGATAATATAATTACAAAAATATGAAAAAACGGAAGGTGATCGAGCATTTTTGATATAGTCTCAGGGTTTCTAGGTCTACAATCTTTTCCTCTTCTTTTAAAATCATTTTTTAAACATGATTTGGCCGAGCCTTTATTTCATATCTTGGAAATCACTTAATATAACAAATATTCAATTTAAATCAGAAAATGATATCATTATCAGAGACCTGCAGGCCTGGCCCTAAATCATTAAAAGTAACAAAGATACACTCAATAATATAATTAACTTTTTAAGGGAAAAATTTATTTTTTGAAAAGTATCATTTAATCTCAATTTTTCTCTCTCCTAAATTCAGGCAATTACGTATGTTGCCAGGAAGAGAGAGTAAATGACTGATACTTATATAAGGGAGTATATTAAATTACAAGAGGAACAGGAAATAATGGATCGACCAGTAAAATTGAAAGTGTGTTGATTCAAACTCATTCCTTTTACGCAAGGTCATAGATAAAATACATACCTTGACCGTGAAATCCGGGCCAAAATTTTTTTTTTTAAAAATCAGGGGCCAAATTTTTATTTTTCAAATACGGGCCAGACCGGGCCTTGCAATAATACCTCTGCAGGTCTTTGATAAATATAGATAAAATAATGAATAAACTTTTTCCCTTTTTAGAGTTGAAAATAGAAAATAAATTTTATGAATTTACAGCAAAAGTTACTTTATCAAATGTAATGACAAAATCATTACAAAATTTTTATTTGTAGCCTTTTTAAAAACAATCTAAAATTATTTGGAAACAAGATATGATTCTAAACCTTATTTATGACTGACTATTATGGCCCTTGACAAGAAACTGTCAATGGATAGTTTTTTAAATATATTTGATTCTTTTAATACAGAATATCGATTTTAATATTTAATTTGAAGAAAATAGAATTTTGTCTATTTATGATACACATCAATAAAAAATATATATATAAATGAAAGCAGAAAAATTAAGTGAACGATAATTGTTGCAATCTTGAAAATATATGTAATTATATTTTTTCATTACATCATTCAAAACACATTTTTAATCTGATGAGGACTTTATAGAAAGAACGTTTATAGATTTCATTTAGTTACATTGGAGGCAGAATTGATGTTCAAGCAAAATTATGGCATGACCTGTCACAATATTTATAATTATCTCAAGGATATTGGGAAATATTTAAAAAATGTAGAAGAAGCCATTTTTTAAAGAATTTATAAACATCTTATTTTGATTTGTTTAATGAAATGTAGTAAGGCCATATTTTTAAATTATTTTCATACCATTTTTAAGAGTCATTTTAAATGTTTGCTATATTTTATTAATATTTGGATAATTTATGTTTTCCTTCTCAATTGGTTCAAAACTTAAAAATAGGTATCCAAATAAGCACAACTATATTAGTTATGCTTATTTCCACGAAGAATGAGTAAATAAAAAATTTAAGTAATATAGGCTATCTAAGTTCGTATAATTCAAATTATAAAATAAATAAATAAATTAAAATTGATGTCACAAGTGGGACTCAGCGCCAGGCAAAAGCAGGTCGTAGGCCCGTAAGAGGGTATGGGGCCCTTTATAAAAATTTCTCCAACTCAAAAATTTTGACCTGACGACCCTGCCCAGATAAAGTTGGTGGCGGAGAATTTTTGAGTGATATAACTTTTCAAATACCGATCACTCTCAAAATGTTAAATTTTATTAAATTTTGCATTTCTATAAAAGCAACATCATTAATGACTTAGGGTGATATAATAAAGATTATGGCTTTAATTCTTCCAGGCATAGTTAATTAAATTAATATTTTTGGTAAATTTTTTAACACGGAAATTTTATACTGTAGCAAATATTTAATCATAAAGATTGCATAAATCTAGTTTTAAATGGTACAGAATCTTTTATTAATGATCACTTGTAATATAATATGCTATTATAATATTTAGTCATTTCATTATCATCTTTAAAAAAATGATATTTTAAATTTTACCTTGGTCTTCTGACTTTCTTGGGATCATTATCATAGTAAAAAAAAATTTCAGCACGATCTACACTCTAACCGAACTTTGAAAAAATATGTGTTCATTTTTATATTTATCATCTAATAATACTTTTAAATATACTCTTTATTTTTCAATTTCCATAAAAAAATATTCACAGTAAAATTTTCGTTTCACAATATATTTCAAAAAATCAATTCATTCCATCTCCAATATTTTATAAAATCACCAACTGAATCAAATTATTAACATCAAATTAAAATAATTTCTTTTCATTTCAATAAAACATGAACATTAAAATTTATCTCGTATAATATATTTATCAAAAGTCAAAAGTAAAAAAATAAACAAAAAAATACCAAGTGTTTTAATATCAATTCTCGATAAAATAACTAATAAATAAAATATATTCTTTTTGATTGACATTTTATAATATATATGTACAAATATATATCATAATAATACAAAACTACAACATCTCACTTGTTTGATTACAATAATCCTTTTTATTCAGATTATTGGTTAATTTAAAATTTTTTATTTCATCAGAATGACAATAAAAATTTCCCACATTACAACTTTTTTTATTCGAGTTAAATTTCAATGTATAATCATCATTCCCATAATGATTATCAATTTTATTATATATATCCACAAAATTTTTAATAAAACTATATATATCAAAATATTTATTATTCTCTAAATATGATTTTTCAATTTTTATATGATTCTCTTTCAAATCATATAGTCACTGTAACCCACTCACACTTTGAATAAAATGTAGGGCAATGTGTCCCATTTCTTCATATTTGAAACACATTCTATCATGGTCTGTATTGTAAGTTTTAATTTCATCCACATTTATAATCTGAGGATTTTGTATACTTCGAACCACTGGATTTATCACTACCTGTTCGTTGCGGAAATCCACTTTTGAAATTGGTTTCTTTCACCATGCAATTTCTTTTTATATGTCCTACAAAACCACATCGATGACACACTATGTCATTTTTTTCTGGTTTTCCAGTCAAATTCTCATTAGTTTTTCGGTTTGAATAACAATTTTTACCGATATGTCCTTTTCTTCCACAAAGTTTACAACTTTCAATCACATTTTACTTTTGATTTTTAAGCTGGAAACTTTTCTGGATAAATTTTTCATATTTTCTCTCATTTCTCTAATTTCACGTAAAATTATAGATTCCTCGATACTTTGTCTCAAAGTATTATCTGTTTTATTATTTTTCAAAATTTCTTCTGATTTTTTACTTAAAACCTCAGAAATTTTCTCTTTAAATTCAATCACAATTGAATTGAATTTTTTGTTGATATCCTCCGATATGTCAATATTTTGATGAAAATTAAATACTTTTCCCGTATCTAAATATTTTGAATTTAATTTTTTATTTATATCCTCCGATATGTCAATATTTTGAGGAACATTAAATACTTCACCAGTATCTAAATATTTCTCATATTTATCTTCAACATTTTTTTTACTATTTAAATTTTTTAATTCTAACAAAATTAAATGTAAACTATTTTTGATATCCTCAGAAATATCTAAAGATTTATTACTATTTAGATCACCTAATTTAATTATTTTATTATTCACTGATCTTCTCTGAATTTTATTAATTAATTGTCTGAAACCAATTAATAATATATACAATATAAAAAAATGAAAGCTTTAACCACACTATTGGTCACATCCAATATTAAATTTCTTATCAAAAATTTTATTAAAATTATTCTTAAAATTTGACATTTTATTAATACTATGCTTATTATAATTATCATTAAAATAGAAAGCCATTTTTTCATTAATTACCCAAAATTTAAAATTTTAATCCAAAAATCCTACTATTGCGTCATGTAATTTATAATACAAAAAAAATTTCTTACCTTTATTTATCCGGAATCCACTATTATTTTGAGGAACTCGGTCCTAGAAATTGTTCTTCTTTATAATATCTAAAATTCTCTTCACAAAATATTCACTTTTTTTTTATTTTAATTTTCTTATTTTTCCCTAATAAGTGTTCACGAATCCTGGTCATGGCACCATTTTTATATTTATCATTTAATAATACTTTTAAATATACTCTTTATTTTTCAATTTCCATAAAAACAATATTCACAGTAAAAATTTTCGTTTCACAATATATTTCAAAAAATCAATTTTTATTCTTCATTTTATAAAATCCCCGACTGAATCAATTTATTAACATCAAATTAAAATAATTTTCATCTCATAAAAGTTTTTCTTTTCATTTCCATAAAACATGAACATTAATTTTTTCTCGTATAATATATTTATCAAAAGTAAAAAAGTAAACAAAAAAATACCAAGTGTTTGAATATCAATTCTCGATAAAATAACTAATAAATAAAATATATTGTTTTTGATTGACATTTTATAATATATTACAAATATATATCATAATAATACAAAACTACAACATTCATATTTACATTTAATAATATATATTCATAAAAGGGGGTAACATTTTGCGGTACATCTGGAAACGAACTAACCATGAAAGATGTTCCATGGCATACAGACGTCCTGAATTTTGGATTAACCCTAATTCAAGCTTTGAATCACCCTATTAATAACAAAAATAGTATACCAAGATATGAATTAGCTTGCGAACATGAACATTCTAATTGTGTTCTATTGGCCGATAATAGGGTTCGATAATTTTTTATACTTTATATTATGCTAAGTACTTTTTAAAAATAGTTTTGACTTTTAAGACTTTTGTAAAAAATTGGGACTATTAATTAAATCCCTAGAAATTTAATTAAGTACCATTTTTCTTACACTAACACCAGCCAAATTAAGTTTTCATTTAAAAGATTAATATTAAAAAAATTCAATAAAATAATTTGTTTATTATAGTTCAAAATTGACGAATCTTGGCATACGTGGATAGATTATGATAAGTTCATCACAATGGTTTCACAATATTATGATACAATTGCAATATCGGAACCCGAAAATTTACAAGGAGTTAATTTAGATAACGCAAAAAAAATACCTCAAAACTATACAATTACACCTTTGGAAAAAGCCAGAGTTAATATTGATAATACAATTTCAAACAAATTAAAAAAAATGAAAAGTTTAATTAATTCTCTTGAATACTCCTGTCCAACTCCTTGGTGGAGTCAAATGGGGGCTGAGGAGCGAGGTTTTGATCCTGGAGAAAACAGAATTACAGGACAAAAAAGATCTCAGACAAGACTTGATAAATCTATAAAAGAATAAATTGAACTATAATAAAGATGTTTGTACAATGTTTATTATCCTATTTATAAACTGTAATTTTAAATAAATAACTAAAAGTTATAAGAATTTATCATTATATATATATATATATATATAGTGAATTTATGTATTTTTGCTTTATGTAAATAAATAAACTCAGGTTTTATTAAATTTTAAAAACTATATTTATTGATTAAACCGACAACTATGGGGATCAAATGATAGATTGAATGATATAATATGTTTGGTGACTGAATAAAAATTTAAAAAAATATGCTGTATAAAAAACGTGGTTCAATATATCCATGAGGGAATTCAGCTCATGATCAAAGGCAACATAATTGAGGGATTTTTTTTTGTATTTAGAAATACATTCTCATAATTAAAGTGTGAAGAAGTGTCAACTATAAATATTACTATTTAGGTAGTATGGTTGAAATTTCGAATACTCCGGTTTCAGGTTGATGGCCAAGATTTATTAATGAATGTTCAAAAAAAATTATGCTATATTGACTCAATTTTATATCATAGTTTGAATGGACAAACATACTTAAAAGTGGCTAATTGAGAGAAATTTTTATATAAGTCATATTATAACAAAAAAAAAATTTGACAGAAGAACGAGGATATTACTAGAAATTCCCTAACCAAGGACCTAGAACGAAACACCGGAATGAACCTTAAAATTTTTTAACCATAACCAAGCCATTTATATATAAATTGTCACTTTCCCTAGAGTTTTTATTATGGTAATTTTTTTAAATTTTGCAGTTGATCCACTGTCTTTTAACATATACTTTAGACCTAGATAAGACATATATTTTAAAATATTTTTATTTTTAAATTTAGAATTATTTATATACAGTGGCTGATTAAAAAAGATATACAATACATATAAATCTTATTTAATTAATAATAGAAAAATTAATTATTGGTATTACTTATATATTTATAGTATCCTCATGTGATTAGTTATATTATCTTTTGGCCCAAGTTAGACAAATTTAGAGAATCTAATTGATATATCTGGATGTTTTTCCTAAAACATCTTGATATATCAGGATATTTTTCCTTAAACATCTTGAATGTTCCCTTAAGATTATTTGATATTAGTCTTTTTGGTTTGGCTCTTTCTCGTCAATTACTGAGTCAGCTTATTTTATCAAAACTAAAAATCCTTGACAATTTTAAATTTTTTTCATTTAGTGTTTTTTCTACATTATATTTTGAGAATGAGATAATTCCAGTTTCTTTTACCATCCTTTTTTATTTTTTGCCATATATAATGTTTCGTTGAATTTTATTGACACTAATCTTCGAGGCAAAAGTATAAGAATTTGATATTGTTAGTGATTTATCTTTGAATATAATAAAAATTTCATCTTTAATTGGACTATCATACTCAAAATCAGATATTTCTAACTCTTTATTGCTTTTTAATCTTTTAAATTTTATTTTTAGGATATCTTTCTCTTTAAACGTTTTCTTTTAATTGGCGATTCTCAATTGTGTAATGTTACATTGATAGATTCAAAGGCCTACTACTAATTATAGGTTATTGGATATATAAATTCTTTGGGAATGTCTGGACAAATTTTACTTAACGGTAGTGGCACGAATTACATATTTTTTGTTGAAGATATAAATCATTATTTTATTAAGCACCCAACAGGAAATTCTTTTTAAAATTTTTGTTTATTTAGTGGATTGCAACACTTTAGCTTATCTATTATTTGTTTCATTTAGGAAAAGTTATTTATTTAAAGGTGAGTGAAAATATTTTAATTTACTTATTTTAAAATTATATGAAAAATGTTAAAGAAATGAATTTTTTTTTGAAGGTAATAAATTTTAAAAAAAGCCGTTTCAATTTAAAAAATTTATAAATACGAACAATATCAAATTAAAAATACATTTAAAAAAAATAAATAAGAATTTATTAAAATTATATTAAAAAAATATTAAAACAGGTATATATCGCCCTAGAGAAAGGTGAATGCTTGAAAAATTGGACCGGCAGATTTCGAGAGAAATTTGCTGACTAAGGTAAAATACTTCGTTGGGTCCCCAGTGATCTGTCATTTTTTTCCTATGGTTTTAATCTAATTGAGGATTTCATCCGAACATGCCTATGGTATTGGTAACGAATAGTATGAGCACTCTGTTGGTGAGGCCAGGACATTTGTTTTTTAAGGACTTCTGCCTTTTCCATGGCAGAAAATGAGAGGTTGGACTTTACTGCAAGATCAACGCAAGTATAGTCTTAGGTCAATGGGAGACCGTTACTCCAGGGAATGAGGGATATACCATCAGGGCATATAGCGTTTATATTTTTAAGGTTCACTGGTTCGAGGGTGGATGGTATATTAACTTTTTTGAGGGAGCTAAGAGAATGTATGAATTATTTTTTCAATAATTTGTAAAAAATAAATCAATTATTAGCCTGATCGGGAATTTTGAAAAAAATATCTTTATGCCTGCTCGGATATATTTAATAACCTCATTAAGTTCATATCAGACCTAATTTGATTTTCCTTAATCAAATCTTTATTCTCTTGTAACATTTTATTTTCTAAAACTCGCAAGTGCATTACCACCAAACAATAAATATATTGCGACTGTATTTATTTAAAGGAAAACAATAGATTGAATATTAATTTACTCATAAAAGTCCTTAAATTATAAACGCGAAACGTTTTATGCATCTTTTGTTATCTATTAAGTAAGCATTTAACCTTTATCTGATGATAAAAAATAAATTAACCAATATCTTTTTAGGCTTCACGCATAGTTGTAAGTACGGAAGTGATACTTGGTTCAGGTTTTTACCCAAATAAATTCAACCCCCCCCCCAACATAAATTTTAATATGTGCTTTATGCCATTAAAAGTAAATTTGAACAAATATTTAAATTTTTTTAATCAAGATAAAAATAATAAAAGCTAAGAATTTTTGCTTATTTTCTCAGATTATTATTTTGCTAAGTAATTTTTTTAAATTTCTCTCAGAATTATTTTATTCAATTTTCCGAGTTATTAAGACACAGTAATTATTAATTTTAAAAGTCAAAAAATTTATGCACTTAAATAATATAAATAGTAAATATTTCTGAGCAATATATTATATTTTCTGAGAAATTCAATTCTAAGAAAACTAAAATTTCTACATAGCAAAATCATCTTTGGGGATTCAGTAAAATTTACCTTAAGTAGTTTTAATTCTGAGTAATTAAGGAGAAAAATATATTATATGCTGTAGCACTAACCTACTGGCAAACTTCATGTTTAAGGCTCCGACTCAATATTAGATTGAGATTCCTATCAAATTTTTTGAACTAATATTTTATATCTAAGTAAACAGAAAAGATAAAAAAATATCTATATAGATCATAAAATTTTAGAAACCCCCTTACTTCACTTAGATGTAATTTATTTTAAATTACCATTCAAAATTCGATGAAGACAGTCTAATAGCTTATAACTCTTGGTTAGTAACTGGCAAAAGTGTTTGATGAATTTTTACATAAGGACTTCAGACAATAAATATTGGCGCAACCCAGTAGCTAATGAACTCAATGATTAATATATTAATAAAGCCTGAGTTTTTTGCGCGTTTTATAAAATAAGACGAGGAAAAACATAGGACATGCCAGCAAAAAATATCTTATTCCAATAAATTTATTAGGGCTATAAGAAATTTAAAACTAACATTGAATCAATTCCGTACCTAAAAATATTATTCAATTAATATGATCATAAAAATAAATTCATATTCGACTAAATTTTGTTAGCTAAAAGACGACTAATAGTCGTAGTCAAAAAATTTGACTAAAAACTCGAGCGACTAAATTAGTCGACTAAGTTGAATTTTTAAGCCAAACTTGTATCACTGTGTATTCGGTGTGAAAATATAAAGCGTAAACATAATTGGGATTTCAATGAAGATGAACCATATAAAACACAAATGTCATATATAATCTTTATTTTTTAAATTTGTTTTGACGCAAATAAAAAAAATTGTAAACATGTTAAATTGAGATTTTAAGGGAATGAACCATAGAAAAGTGACAATTCTCATAATCGCTATCTTTAACCTTTTTTAAGCAAATGGGTATAATTATGTATTAGAAACTTGTTATTTCAATTAAGATGTACCATAGTAAGTGACAATTGTCAGAATCCTTATTTTTAAGCATTTTTTTGCAGAAACGAGCTTAGCCCACGCCCGCCCATCTAAGGGACAGGAAAATAAATTAAATTTATAAAACGGACGAGCAGGTAAATAATTTTTAAACTCGTCACGTATTACAGAAAGTAAACTTCAATAAAAATATAATTTATTGATTTTAAAATCAAGGCAAATTTTATGGACTTTAAATCAAAAAAGACCGAAATAGCGCGTTTTCTTTACATTTTCGTTTTCTAAATATCATTAGGTAAGCTTATAACATGCGCGTAGCCCACCCACTGTAGCAAATATCTTTCAAAAAATATAAAAGGTTTTCATAATCTGTTAATAATTGCAGTTAAAATAAATTAAAATATTTTTTCTTTGTATTAAATTTTATCTCACTTTTAAAAACCTTAAACAATGATGGATAAAAATTTTATCAATCAAAAAAAATCATTTAATTTATCTCTATTAATAACTATGATAAATTTCTAGCATGTATGAAATGTTTAGATATCGAAAGACAGAATTTGCTAAATTGATTTATTACTAAGGTACTACTGGAAGAAAGAAACTGTAAAAAGCATCCTGATAAGACGGAACCTCATCAAGCTGTTACAGCTTTTTTGGATATAATTAGCCTATTTTGAGTGCCCTTAGAGAAATATCAGAATGGGCTGAACCATTTCATCTGAATCACATATATTATATTTAATACGACTAAACATCATTTCTAAATTATAAACATATCTCAATTTTATCATGTATAAAAAATATTAGCAATATATTTAGTAATTTAATATCTTGAAATAGGGGCAAGAATGACAATAGATGATTGACTTATTTTTTGTAAATTGTGACAATGACAAGTTCTTTCAGGTGATATATAATTA